AGGGAGTGAGCCAGCGGATGGAAGACCTCTCTCTCTCTGCCTCTTCTCTCTCTGTGTAACTCTGACTTTCAAATAAATAAATAAATCTTTAATATAGATTATTGTTATTTATTTGAAAGGCAGAGAAACAGAGAGCACTCCTCAAATGCCCACAGCAGCCAGGGCTGGGCCAGGTTAGAGCCAGGAGCTGGGAACTCAGCACAAGTCTCCCATGTGGTTGGCAGAGATCCAAGTACTTGAGCCATCACCTGCTGCCTCCCAACTGCGCATTAACAGGAAGCCGGATTGGAAGCAGAGCCGCTGGGACTCAAGCCCAGGCACTCTGATCGTGGACACGGGGGTCCCAAGAGGCAACTTCCCTGCTGTGCCAAACGCCCACTCCAGTAAACACACCAACTGCTGCCCTGGGCCCCTGCCCACCCTTCCCAGGGTACTTGGCTGGCAGCAGCGCTACACTGGAGATGCCAAAACAGCGGTCATTGGTTGTGGGAAAGCCAGATGGGCCTTTGCACCTCTTCCCTTCCAGCCAGGTTGGGAGTGGGCGGGTGGGGAAGGCCCAGGGGAGCTGTGGTTGCACTTTACTAGTGAATATTGCCACCTAGTGGGAATAGAGTTAACAACATCTGCAGGACACCAAGAACTGGACCCTTGAAATCATAATTTTCCACTCTTTTTTTTTTTTTTTAATTGCTTTATTGATTTGGGCCATCCTCCACTGCTTTCCCAGGTGCATTAGCATGGAGCTGGATCGGACGTGGGGCAGCCAGGACTCAAATCGGTGCTGGTACAGGATGCCGGTGTTGGGGGCAGGGGGGGAGGCTTAACCTGCTATGCCACAACGCAAGCCTCCGTTTTCCACTCTTGAGAAGACTTTGTGGAAATCATCGAAGACCGCCCAAATGAGGAAAAACACAGGCTATTTATTCAGAGTTTTCTACGGCAGGGAATTCAGCCATTATCACCTGCATTTGTCACCGGCATCAAAGACAAGCGGAAAATCAAAAGCCAGCAGGAACGGTTTCCAGAAAAAAAGGGTTTTGGGTGTGTCTGTATCCATGTGATTGGTCTGGAGAAGATATTTGTCCTTCTCTGGTTGGTCTCGAGCCAGAAGTGGGAGGTGAAAATTCGGGCAGTGGTACTCACCAAGCCCTGAGGTTAAGACCAGCTGCTGCAGAGCGCACGGGTAGTTCTACTGTCCGACCACTGTCCCTTGGCATACTCAAGCTCTTAAAAACAGATTTATTTATCTGAAAGTCAGAGCAACAGAGAACGAGGGACATCTTCCTTTGGTCAGTTCACAAGGCTGGGCCAGGCTGAAGCCAGGAGCCAGGAGCTTCATCCTGGTCTCACCATGGGTGGCAGGGTCCTAAGTACCAGACCATTACCTGTTGTCTTCCAGGTGTATGAGCAGGGAGCTGGACTGGAGACAGAGCAGCCAAGACTCAGACACTCCAACGTGGGATGCCACAACGCAGGCCCCCTATTCAAGGTGTCAATTCACTCGGCAGTGTCAGAGTAGACAGCCACTGATAAATTTCACAGTTTTAGGATCAAATGAGATAGTATGCCAGCTCTCTGCTGTGGCCCGGGAGTGCAGTGGAGGATGGCCCAAGTGCTTGGGCCCTGTACCCCATGGGAGACCAGGATAAGCACCTGGCTCCTGCCATCGGATCAGCACGGTGTGCCGGCCGCAGCGCGCCAGCCGTGGCGGCCATTGGAGGGTGAACCAACGGCAAAAGGAAGACCTTTCTCTCTGTCTCCCTCTCTCACTATCCACTCTGCCTGTCAAAAAGAGAGAGAGAGAGAGAGAGAGATAGTATGTCGCTAATATCTGGCATACAGCAGTTGTAAGCGTTTTTTTTTTTTTTTAAGGTTTATTTATTTGAAAGTCAGAGTACACAGAAGAGAGGCAGAGAGAGAGAGAGAGAGAGAGGTCTTCCATCTGCTGGTTCACGCAAAGGCTGGAGCTGTGCTGATCCAAAGCCAGGAGCCAGGAGCTTCCTCTGGGTCTCCCACGTGGGTGCAGGGGCCCAAGGACCTGGGCCATCTTCTACTGCTTTTCCAGGCTACAGCAGAGAGCTGGATCAGAAGTGGAGCAGCTGGGCCTCGAACCGGCACCCATATGGGATGCCGGTGCTGCAGGCCAGGGCAGTTAACCCCCTGCGCCACAGCACCGGCCCCCACTCAGCATTCTAAATACAGACATTGCTGCTGTTACTAATTCCGACAAGACTGCATAAAGTAAGCCACGTAAGAGGCAGTTTGGCTCTGAGCCAATACTTGTGCCTGCTCAAGGCTAGCCTTATCCATTTTGACGTAGGGTTCATATCTGACGTAACTGTTACTGCTGCCTGGCACGCCTTCATACAAAGGAGCTTCACACAGCTCATGGGAAATGCGTCTACGAGGTAAGCTTCGGACAGGCCTTTGGTGTGCGGGTTAGGTGCCTGCGTCCCTAACTGCAGTGCATACCGGGTTCAGTACCCGGCTCTTCTCCAGACTCTGGCTCCCTGCTAGTGCAGACCTGGGGGCAGCAGGTCACTGGGGTCCTGTGTCCCTAATGCTTGAGTGCCCAGTCCCAGCTGGGGCCACTGTAGGCACAGACGTGAGACAGCTCTCTCTTTCTGTCAAATACGTCAGTAAACATTGTACTTAGCAAAGATAAATTTGGGGCCAGCACTGGGGTTCAGTGTTTAAGCCACTCCCTGTGCTGCCAGCATCCCATATGGGTGCTGGTTCGTGTCCCGGCTGCTCCACTTCTGATCCAGCTCCCTGCTAATGCACCTGAGAAAGCAGCAGGAGATGGCCCAAGTGCTTGTGCCCCTGCACCCGCATGGGAGACCAGAATGAAGCTCCTGGCTCCTGGCTTCCGCTTGGCTCAGCCCTGGTGGTTGTGGCCATCTGGGGGAGTGAACCAACGGATGGAAGATCTCTCTCTCTCTTTCTTCCCAACTCTGCATTTCAAATAAATGAATAAATCTTTTTTTAAAAAAAAGATATATTTTGGGGGCTGGCGCTGTGGCATAGTAGGTTAAGCCTCTGGCTGCAGTGCCGGCATCCCATGTGGGCACCGGTTTGTGTTCCAGCTGCTCCACTTCCGATCCAGCTCCCTGCTAATGGTCTGGGAAAGCAGAGGAGCATGGCCCAAGTCCTTGGGCCCCTGAAACCATGAGGGAGACCTGGAGGAAGCTCCTGGCTCCTGGCTTCAGATGGGCTCAGCTCTGGCTGTTGCAGCCATTTGGGGAGTGAACCAGGGGATGGAAGACCTCTCTCTGCATTTCCCTCTCTGTCTGTAACTCTGCCTCTCAAATAAAACAATTATATATATATATATGTGCCAAATTCTAAATCATGCATAATCATGGGTATGACATCATCTTCTGAACTGACATGGGCCACGTGGTTTTCAACGTCACCTGTTTGAGAGCCGAGAACAGCTCTTTCCAGTGCCTTGTCTTCACCACCATCACCAACCCCACCACCACCTGGCTCACCAACACCCTGGCACGGGTCAATATCTCCGAGGCCGCGTGGCCAGGACTAGCGGCAAAGAGAAGGTGCTCACTTCCGTCTGCTGGCTTGTTCTTCCTATGCCTGCAGCGGCCCCTGCTGCGATGGAAGCCAGGAGCTGGGAGCTGGATCCAGGCCTCCCACAGGGGCCTGGGAGCCCAGTTCCTTGTCACCACCTCCTCCCAGGGTCTGCATTAGCAGGAAGTTGGAGCCTGGTGCCATAGCTGCTAGGCTAGATGCTCACCCAACAAGGGTGCTGTTTTAAATGACTCCCCAGGACGGATCCCCACGTCCGTGAAAGTGGCTTGTTACACGGCGCAGTAAGATAAACAGAGCAAGGTAGTTAGTCTGAACCCCATGACGGCGACGCCTGCAGCAGCCCCGAAGCGCAGTGCTGAGCACACCACGGGCGCCTCTCCTGGCCACCCCTCGGCACCGCCTGGTGGGCACCTCCTCTCCGCCCTCCTGCAAATGGGCAGTGCGGGCCGAGGGAGGGCCCAGAGCTGGTTCCCGAAGGCCAGGCTGCACGGAACTGCTCTCAGAGTAAGTCCCCAGCAAGCGACTGACAAAGACCATCACACGCACCTTTGGGACCGGGTGGGAGCGAGTGTGGGGGGGTGATTCACGGCTGGCTGTGTTCCCAGTAACGCCTGACTTTTGCCTGGGCACTGCAAAGGGGTGAGCAGCAGCTTTCGGAAACAGGATACGGATCGTTGGTGAGGGCAAGAGGAGCCACCAGCCACCCTCCACTTTCTGGGAGCCCAGGGCTCGCTTTTCTGGGTGCTGCGTGGCTACCACACTTCCTGCCACGGGGTCTTGCGCATGGGTCCCGTCCTTGTCTCGCTCCCCCTCGCGGCCCTTCCACGGGGGACACCCACAGACCCAGCCTGGGCCAGAACCTTCTCACCCACATGCAACAGTGCCAATCCTCGCGCGAGGGCTGACAGCCTCTTAAAGCCCCAGAGAGCAGGGGGATGCTGTGAGAGGCGCCTCGCTGCTCCGTGGGCTGGGCCTCACGCTGCACCTCTGCCCCAGAGGTCGGTCACGGTCACCAGGGTCACCTGATTGTGTTCTGGATCTTCAGGGTTGCACACACACACCCTCTCCCCAAACTCCTGCCTATTCAGGGCTTTTTGGTTTCCGGCTCAAAGGCCTTCCCTGGTCCCCTCCCGGCGGTGACCCCGACAGAGCCTCCTCATGAAGGACTGGCCGGCAAGGCGGGACCCAACACCAGGGCGCTGCCCCACCGGCTCCAGACACCAGACCGGGAGCAGGCCTTTTCCACAGTGCTGAAACTGCCCCTTACCCACCCCAGGGCTGTCCCACCCAGCGCCAGCTCTGCTCTCCAGGGCACGCCCCGCGAGTCAGGTGACGGCTCAGGTTCCTGGGTCCCGGCCACCCATATCAAAGACCCAGGTGGAGGTCGGGGCTCCCAGCTTCAGCCTGGCCCGGCTCGGGCTGTGGGGGCATCTGGGGAGCGAGCCAGCGGGTGGAAGGTCTCTCTCTCTCAATCTGATTGCGCTTCCGTAGCCCGGGATCGGGCACGCGCGTTTTCGCCGCGGCCCCTTTTAGAGGCGGGCCCCGGGCGCGCGCTCCCGGAAGACGCTGGGCGCTCCGGACCGGTCCCCTCCGGCTCCCTGCACCCCGTCTCCCCGCGACCCGGGTTGCCGCCGCTCAGCCCCTGGCGCCGATCCCGGACCCCCGGCCATCTCGCGCCGGGCCCGGGTCGCCGGGGCGCGTCTGAGCCTTGCGAGAGCGTCCGCGCCGATGGCTGGCTGTTGAGTCCCGTGGGCCCCGGGCGCGGGGATGGGGGCTCCCTGGCGCTTGTCGGTCAGGGTCTGCGTGTCGCGCCTGCGGCGCCTGGAGCTGGGGCCCTCCGGGGCCGCTCGCCACGCTCGGCTCCGCTGGCTTCTGCTGGGCGCCCTGCCCAGGCTCATCTCCGCGGACGGGGACGGCGGCGGCGGCGGCTTGTGCCAGCCGCGGGCACGCGGGAGCGGCCCGGCCGGCCGTGCGCCCGGGACCACCGTCGCCGACCCAGGGCGCGGCGGCTGCGGTCTCCTGCGTGCCCGGGTCTGGCTGCGCGCCTGTGCCCTCCTGGTGAAATTCCTCCCCCTGCTCCTCCTGTACCCGCTCACCTACCTGGCTCCCCGGGTCTCCACGCTCTGGCTCCACCTGCTTCTGAAAGCCACGGAGACCTCGGGCCCCACCTACATTAAGCTGGGCCAGTGGGCCAGCACGCGGCGCGACCTCTTCTCCGACGCCTTCTGCGCCCGGTTCTCCAAGCTGCACGTCCAGGTGCAGCCCCACGCCTGGGCGCACACGCAGCGCGCCCTCCAGCAGGCCTTCGGGGAGCGCTGGGACAGCGTCCTGGTGTTCGAGAACCGGGAGCCCGTGGGTTCTGGGTGCGTGGCCCAGGTGTACAAGGCGTATGCCCGCACTGCCCTGCTGCAGGAGCGCAGCGTCCAGAGCCTCGGGGCGGCGGGGGCCCTGAGGCAGCTCCTTCCTCCAGGCGATCTCGCAGACCAGTCAGTTCTAGAAAGGCTGCTTCTGCCCGAGGCCGGCCTGGTCCGGTCCGGTGCGGGCAGGTCTCAGGCCCCCGCCGCCGGCCGTCAGCCCGAGCAGGACCACCTCATCCCAGTGGCCGTGAAAGTAAGTGCTGGGTGTCTTCAGGAGGGCCTTGGCAGCTCGGTCCCACCCACCCACCCACCCACTGACCTCCCCGGACCTGTCGGGCCCCGCCCTGGCTCTGTTCAGAGTGAACAGCCCTGATCCAAAGAGCTTGAGTCCAGAATGTTGCAGGCTTTGTATGGTTTTTTTAAATTATTATTTTGGAATATTTGCATATACGTCATGGGTGAGACCCAAACCTAAACATAAAATTAATCTATGTTTCCTATACATCCTTAGCACATGACCTGAAAGGTAATTTTATGTGATTTAGATATATGAAGATTTACTTTTACTGATTCGAAAGGTAGCGTTAGAGAGAGGGAGAGACACAGATCTTCCATCCACTGGTTCACTCCCCAGGTGATTGCCACAGCAGGCGCTGGCCCAGGAGCTTCTTCCTGCTCGCCCGTGTGGGTGCAGGGGCGCAGGCTCTGGGGCCACCTCCTGCTGCTTCCCCAGGTTCGCTAGTACAGAGCTGGATTGGAGGTGGAGCCGCGGGGTTCCAGCCGGCCACCATGTGGGGTGCTGGAGTCCCAGGTGGCGACTCAGCTGCTGTGCCACGGCACTGGCCCCTGTGTGGTATTCTTAGTGCACCTGCATTTTGGCTGTGGACCAGGTGCGGAATTTTCCGCTTGTGACGGCACGTGGTGCTGGAAAAGTCCAGATTTCCAGCATTTCAGATTGCAAACTTTGGAATTAGAGCTGGTGAGCCTGTTCTGCAGTGGCTTGGCTGTTGTCTGGCGTGCCTGCACCGTATCAGCCGTCTTGTGTCCTGGCTTGCGGAGTGGTGCTGCAAACAGGCCGAGGGGAAAGGGAGAGGGGTTTGGAGGGTGCCGACGTCGGGGGTGGCGGAGCCGCCGTCGTCATCCAGGGCTTCCTGGGTGCTGGGGGCAGGCCTCTCGCTCCCTTGCTGGGGGGCGCAGCCCTGGGCCCTTCCTGCCTCACTGCAGCTTTTCCCTGGCAGGTGCTGCACCCTGGCCTGCTCTCAGAGGTGCGTATGGACTTGCTGCTGATGAAGATGGGCAGCCGGGCCCTGGGCCTCCTGCCAGGAATCAGGTGGCTGAGCTTGCCTGAGGTGGTGGAAGAATTCGAGGCGCTCATGGTCCGACAGGTGAACTCCCCTTCCCCCCGCTCGCAGCAGCGCCCGCCACAGTCCTTGCGGGTAGCAGCTGGTGAGTGAGTGCTGAAGGAGTGAGCTGTTCCGCAGCAGGTCGAGCTGGGTGGTGTGCTCGGGCGCAGGACACCCACTGGGGAAGCAGTCAAACCTCGGTGGCTTCACGCAGCATGGCTGTGGCTTGCTTGTATCAAAGTTCTGTGCAGGGGAACTGGAGAACGAGCACTCGACGCCACGGTTTTCCAGTGACCCAGTTTCCTCCCAGGTGTGACACTGCCGTGTTCCGTGTGTGTCGCCTGCAGCCAGTGCGGAACGCAGAGAGAGAGAGAGAGAGAGAGAGAGAGAGAGAGGGAGAGAGAGGCCACGCGGGGTGTCTTGCACCTCGCTTCCTCCCAGGCTGCTGATGGGAGCTGTGATCTCGGGCCCCGTGTGACTGCGAGGGAGCTCGGGAAATGCGCTGTTCCGTGTGCCGGGCCAAGGGAGCCGCTCCTGGTGCAATGCGCAGCGCTGCTGGGCTCCGGGTGAGAGCGGTCGGCGGTCGCGCTCTGTGCCTTGGCTTCTCTTGGCTGAGTAGTGAGGGGCATCTCCTTCCTATTCAGACCCTTGGGACATCTGTGTGTGAGGGCAGACTTGGCAGACACACTCTGGGGGGCCCTGGGGCTCCAGGTGGGCGTCTCCGCTGGCTGCCTGGTGGGCAGGTTTTAGAAGTCCTTGTTCATAGCCTCTGCGTTGAGATTGCAAATCCAGGCGTTCCCTCATTGTGTAGAAAGTCCCTGGTCTGAGCGGCTGTAACAGAATACCACAAACTGGGCAGCTTATACGCAGCGGGAGTTTATTTCCTCTGTTTGCAAAGGAGGTCAGAGATGGGTAGCAGTGGCGGCTCTGGCCTCTGGGGAGGACCCAAGTTCTGGTCTGCAGGTAGTTGTTCTTTTGTTGTGTTCTCACATGGTAGAAGAGCTGTGGGTCTCTGGCCTCTTTTTTTTTTTTTTTTTTTTTAAGATTTATTTATATATTTGAAAGGCAGAGAAAGAGAGACCTTCCATCCACTGGTTCATTCCCCAAATGGCTGCAATGGCTGGAGTTGGGCTGATCCAAAGCCAGGAGCCAGGAGCTTCCTCCAGGTCTCCCATGTGGGTGCAGGGGCCCAAGCACTGGGACATCTTCTACTGCTTTCCCAGGCCACAGCAGAGAGCTGGGTGGGAAGAGGAACAACTGGCACCCACATGGGACGCCGGCCCTGCAGGCAGTGGCTTCACCCGCTGCGCCACAGCGCCCCCTCTGGCCTCTTTTATAAGGGCACTAATGCCATTAAGAAGGCTGCCCCCAGGGCCGGCGCTGCCCACAACGCTCATGTCCCATACTGGAGTACTGGTGCAAGTCCCAGCTGCCGCGCTCCCAATCCAGCTCCTTTTTTTCTTTTTAAGGTTTATTTTAAGCCGGTGCCGCAGCTCACTAGGCTAATCCTCTGCCTTGCGGCGCCGGCACACCGGGTTCTAGTCCCAGTCGGGGTGCCGGATTCTGTCCTGGTTGCCCCTCTTCCAGGCCAGCTCTCTGCTGTGGCCTGGGAGTGCAGTGGAGGACGGCCCAAGTGCTTGGGCCCTGCACCCCATGGGAGACCAGGAAAAGCACCTGGCTCCTGGCTCCTGCCATCAGATCAGCACGGTGCGCTGGCCGCAGCGCGCCGGCCGCAGCGACCATTGGAGGGTGAACCAACGGCAAAGGAAGACCTTTCTCTCTGTCTCTCTCTCACTGTCCACTCTGCCTGTCAAAAAAAAAAAAAGATTTATTTTATTTATTTTAAGACAGAGTTACAGAGAAGAGAATCTTCCACCCGCTGGTTCACTTTCCAAATGTCGTCAACAGCCAGGGGTGGGCCAGGAGCTAGGGAGCTTCATCCCCACCTCTCACATGCCTGCAGGGGTCCAAGCACTCGGGCCATCTTTTACTGCTTTCTCAACTGCATTAGCGGGGAGCTGGCAAGGAAGTGGAGCAACTGGACTCAAACCTGCACTTGAACCAGTGCCCCTATGGGATGCTGGTGCTGCAGACAGTGGCCACTCCCCAATTCATGTCCTGGCTAATGCACCTGAGAAGGCAGAGGAAGATGGCCCAAATACTTGGGCCCCTGCTATCCACATGGGAGACCCAGATATGGTTCTGGGCCCCTGGCTTGAGCCTGGACCAGCCCTGGCCATTGTGGCCAATTTGGAAATAAACCAGCAGAAAGATGAATCTTCCTCTCCCACTCTTGGCCTTTTAGCTGATTTTTTAAAGAGGGCCCTCCAAGACACATAACCTAAATGAAAGATCTCTGTGAGTGAGATCCCAGTGGAAAGAATGGGCCATCAAAGAAGGAGGTACCTTTCTCTGAAGGGAGGAGAGAACCTCCACTTTGCTTACGGCCTTGTCTAAATAAGGTTGGAATTTGTGAACTCAAGAGGCTTCCATAGCCTTGGCAGCTCATGGCGAGAGCCTTGGGCGACCACTAACCTCATAAATAAGAGTGTCAACTGTTAAATCAACAACAGGAGTCACTGTGCACTTACTCCCCATGTAGGACCTCTGTCCTTAATGAGTTGTACTATGAGAATTAACGGTAAAACCAATTTTCAAACAGTACTTTATACTTTGTGTGTCTGTGTGGGTGCAACCTGTTGAAATCTTTACTTAGCATAGAGTTGGTCTTCTGTATATAAAGATAATTAAAAATGAATCTTAATGAAGAATGGGATGGGAGAGGGAGTAGGAGATGGGACGGAAGTGGGGGTGGGAGGGCAGATATGGGGAGAAGAACCGCTATATTCCTAAAGCTGTACCTATGAAATTTGTATTCATTAAATAACAGCTTTCTTAAAAAGATAGCTAAAAAATAAAAAAGAGGGCTGCCCGATCAGAACTTGCTTAGTTCTGTCATTTTAGGGGTTCACATGCCAGTCAGGTTTGGGTGGACTCCGACATCCAGGCCAAGGCGTTGCACTCTGCTCTGAAATAGGGTACCTCAGATAAAAGAGAAAATGGACGCAGAGAAGATTTCTTGTCTTTTTTTTTATTTTTTTGACAGGCAGAGTGGACAGTGAGAGAGAGAGACAGAGAGAAAGGTCTTCCTTTGCCGTTGGTTCACCCTCCAATGGCCGCCTTGGCCGGCGCGCTGCGGCCGGCGCACCGCGCTGATCCGATGGCAGGAGCCAGGAGCCAGGTGCTTTTCCTGGTCTCCCATGGGGTGCAGGGCCCAAGCACTTGGGCCGTCCTCCACTGCACTCCCTGGCCACAGCAGAGGGCTGGCCTGGAAGAGGGGCAACCGGGACAGAATCCGGCGCCCCGACCGGGACTAGAACCCAGTGTGCCGGCGCCGCTAGGCGGAGGATTAGCCTAGTGAGCCGCGGCGCCGGCCGATTTCTTGTGTTTCAACAACTGCCTTCGTGCTACCGACCCCCGGTGCGCCGTGCACCTGAGCTTCGGGTCCCTGTGGAAGCTTGGCGGCCCTCACGTCAGACTGACCCTCTATCTCTTACCCCATTTGCCTTCAAAATCAGCCCTTCCAAGGGCAAGTTCCTGGGCTGGGAGCCTCACAGCTGAGTCTGGGCGCACACTGTGGGTCTCCTTCTGTCTCCTCCCTCTGTTGTGTGTGTGTGTATGAGTGTGTTTTAAAGATTTATTTTATTTACTTGAAAGGCAGAGTTACAGAGGAAGAAACAGAGAGAGAGAGAGGTTTTCCATCCACTGGTTCACTCCCCAGTGGTCTCAACGGCCAGGGTCGGGCCAGGCTGAGCAGGAGCCAGGAGCTTCATCGGCGTCTCCCATGTGGGTGCAGGGGCCCCAGCTCCTTTCCCAGGTGCATGAGCAGGGAGCTGGACTGGAAGAGGAGCAGCTGGGACTCGAACTTGCACTTGACCCTGCACCCATATGGGATACGGCACTGCAGGCGGTGGCCTAACCGGCTACGCCACAGCACCCCCACCCCCACCCCGTTCTTGTATAAATTCATATAGAATCACTAAAAACAGTTGGAAGCTATTGTACCGAGAAAACGAATGGGCTTTTCCTGTCGGCAGGGACTGTGTGACAGGCAGTGGGCAGACTGATGTGTGAACACTAGCAAGTCTTGTGTGCGGGAGGGGCTCCGGGTTCCAGTGGGCTCAGTTGCTGGGGCTCGGGAGAGGACGCGCTCCTTCACTCTCACCCCAGGGTGGAGGCCCCCTCAGCTTGAGCTGAGTCGGGAGAGGTGACCGGGGAGGAGAGGGAGGGAGGCAGAGGGGTGGCAGGGACGTCAGGCCCTCGGACACGCTGGGCATGACACAGAACTGGGCGAGGCCGGGCCTTACCCAGGCAGACGCTTGAGACATCCAGGGCGCCTTGGTAGCCGCGGTGACGGGGAGGGGAACAGACCTGAGGCTCGCCAGGGCTGCAGACTGGAAGGCGCTGGGCCACACGGTGTGGAGGGGACGGGAGCGGGTGTGGGGAGGAGTTCATTCAGGATCTCTGGGCCTCCCCATGGCCTGGATATAGTTGAGGGGTCCGTCTGGGAGTGGTGTTGAGGTCTGGCCTGGAGCCCGAGGTGCTGTCACTAAGAGACACTGGCCGAGGGCGAGGGGGACGTCCAGGGAGCACACAAGCTGGACGTCGGGAGCAGAGGTCTCCCTGTGGCCAGAGGCCCAGGCCCAGGCGGGGCAGGTGGAGAGCTGGGGGAGACTGAGGAGGGTGAAGGGCAGTACCTGGAAGAGGGCAGTTCCGGGGCAGTGGGTCAGCAGCGGGACAGCGCCGGATGCCCAGGGTGGCCAACGGAGGTATTAAAAATGGCCGCTCCCCAGGGCCTGGTAAGAGAGACGCCCTTGGTGAGTTTAGCCCAGGCAGTGTTGGTGCAGGGGGGTGGGTGGCTGCAGTGACGTGGCTGCCCAGCAGAAGGAGACGGCCGCAGGGCTGGGCCTGTGGAGGGGCGTGGGGCTGCCCGAGAGGGCTGTGGGGGCCAGGGCAGGGGAGTCGTGGGCTGGGCTAAGAGGGGGGCAGGCAGGCAGCAGCGGAGAACCGGCCCAGGTGTCTGCTGTCTGCAGTGTGGCCTTGGGTTGCAGTGTCTTCTCCCTGGTGGGCTGGCACTGGTGTGGGAGAGCTGGTGGGAGGTGTGGCTGGTTCAAAGCTCCCGGGAGAGCTGGTGGGAGGTGTGGCTGGTTCAAAGCTCCCGGGAGAGCTGGTGGGAGGTGTGGCTGGTGGTGAAGTGCCCGGGAGAGCTGGTGGGAGGTGTGGCTGGTTCAAAGCTCCCGGGAGAGCTGGTGGGAGGTGCGGCTGGTTCAAAGCTCCCGGGAGAGCTGGTGGGAGGTGTGGCTGGTGGTGAAGTGCCCGGGAGAGCTGGTGGGAGGTGTGGCTGGTGGCGAAGCGCCCGGCGTTTCGGAGGTGGCGCTCCCGCGGCCAGCCCGGCCCTCACCTTCTCTATCTCTCCAGATCGATCTGCGGTACGAAGCTCAGAACCTGGAGCGCTTCCAGCGCAACTTCCGGAACGTGACGTCGGTCAAGTTCCCCACCCCCCTGCGCCCGTTTGTCACCAGGGATGTCATGGTGGAAACTTACGAAGTAAGATCCGGCAGCTTGGCCCGGCGGAACCCTGTGCTCACAGCCAGGCCATCGTGGCCGCGCGGTGCCTGTCGGGGAGGGGCGTGAGTGCCTGCAGAGCTGTGGGAGCCTTGGCGTGTGGTGAGCGGCTGAGAGCACTGGACGTGGCCTTCCACTTCCTCAGTCCGGAAGCCTGCTCGGCCGGCCGTGTTGTCAGCTGCTGGCAGAAAGGGGGCTGTCCCAAGAGCAGATGACAGCGTGACTGAGGGCCATGGCCCAGGGCGAGTGCGGGAGAAGCCCTGTGCAGTCTCAGCTGAGCCCTGTTAGAGGGGCAGCCCGGGCTCGCGGCCGCCCGTGTTCCAGCGGGGGCGCCTCAAGCGAGTGCTTTCATTCTCCTATTTGTTGGTCTCCAGGGGTTGCTTTGAAAACGCAGCTCGTTTCCCTTTGCCTCCTTCCCTTTCCTCACTTGTTCATGTCACTCTCGCTGCACCTGCTCCCGTCTGGTTCCACCGTATCACAACGCCTCTTCTCTGTCCTTAGCAGAATGGGTGGGCTTCCTTGCTTTTCTTTTTTAAAGACTGATTTATATATTTTGAAAGTCAGAGTTACAGAGGGGGTGGGGAGAGAGAGAGAGAGAGAGAGATCTCATCTGCTGGTTCACTCCTCAGGTGTCTGAAGCCAGGAGCCAGGGTCTCCCATGTGGGTGCAGGGGCCCAAGTGTAGTGGGCCATTTCCCACTGCTTTCCCAGGCCATAACAGAGAGCTGGATTGGAAGTGTAGCAACCAGGACTCGAACCGGCACCCATACGGGATGCTGGCACTGCTGGCGGTGCCGTTATCTGCCATGCCACAGTGCTGGCCCCAACGGTAGGTTTCCTTCCCGATAAGCCTCCGGGACTTGTCCTTTGAGAAGCAAGACAGAAGGGGAATGTAAACAGGTTAAAATCCACGTGTGACTGGCAGATTCCTGCGGGTCCTAAGACAGGAGCAGGGCGTTGGACAGGCTGGTGGGTGAAGCGTCCTCCCCCGTCTTCCTAAAGGAGAGCGTGCCCGTGTCCAGTTACCAGCAGGCGGGCACTCCTGTTGACCTGAAGAGGAGGATTGCGCAGCTGGGGCTCAGCATGCTTCTGAAGATGGTGAGTGCGTGGCCAGTGTTGGCTCAGGCCCGGGGCGGGCAGGGCGATGCCTGGGAGCCTGCGTGGCTCGTGGGCTGGGAGGGGCGGCCGGCACTGAGCCACCACGTGGAGAAAGCCTGCTCTGGAGGTCGGCGAGCCTGCCAGAGGTGCTGGGGAGACTCTCAGCAGCGCCATCTCCCAGAGCCTACAGTCAGCCAAACCGCTAAGTGCTGCTTTAATTGTTCAGAGTCTTCCTGGGGCACCTGCCATGTGCCAGGACCGCAAGCAAGTGCACGGAGCCCGAGAGGAGTGACCGCGAAGCAGGAAAGCAGGGACTGGCACACGGGTGTCACGTGGGAGGGGCTGTCTGGCCCAGGGCTCACGCTGCACGCGGCTGCACCCCAGGTGGACGGGCCATCCGTGTGAGGACAGGTGTCTGGCCCAGGGCTCACGCTGCACGCGGCTGCACCCCAGGTGGACGGGCCATCCGTGTGAGGACAGGTGTCTGGCCCAGGGCTCACGCTGCACGCGGCTGCACCGCAGGTGGACGGGCCATCCGAGTGAGGACAGGTGGGCACTCCGGAGGGGACCCTGCGCTGAGCTGCAGAAGAGACTTTGGAGGAGGGCATGGTGACTGCTGAGCTGAAGGAGGCGGGGGGCCGGCTCCCCAAAGGTCCAGTCAGACTTTAAAAAAGCATGCATTATTTACCTTGACTGATGAGGCTTTTTAAAGTATTATTTTGAAACACACGCATACACAGAGAGAGAGACAGACAAAGGGAGAGAGATTTGCCATCCTTCCTTCTGCTGGGTTGTTTCCCAAATGCTTGCAACAGCCAGGGTTGGGAACTCATTTCCAGTCTCCCATGTGGGGGTCACAGGCACCCCTGAACCTGAGCCGTCACCTGCTGCCTCCCAGGGTGCATTAGCAGGTACAGGAACAGAAGTGGGGCTGGGGCTGGAACCCAGGCGCTCTGGTAGGGCGTGTGGGGGTCACAGGCGAGGTCTTAACTGCCGTGTCGGAGGCCTGTCCAGGAGTTTGGACTGCAAGGGTGAGTGAGCTCATTTCAGGTTTTTCTTTCCCCCTTTTTGTAATCAAATGATAAAATTTAGTCAAGCATGCGGATCTAAATTACTGCTCCGTGAATTTTACAAAGCTGAACAGTACCCAGGAGTCTTAGCAGAGGAATGCCCTGAGGAGGAGGACTGTCATGGCAGGTGTGAGCGGGGCCAGGCCTGTCGCTGGGGCTCAGAGCCAGATTTCGATTCTTGGACATTCAGGTCTCTCTGATCTTACAAATGGTTGGAGGGTTCTTTTAAAAAATCAGAATTATATTTTATTAAATAAGTTATATTATTAGGAAAAATTAATTGAGATTTGATTCAAATAGAATATCGCTTCAATTTTTTTTTTCTTTTTTTTTTTTTTTGACAGGCAGAGTGGACAGTGAGAGAGAGACAGAGAGAGAGAAAGGTCTTCCTTTGCCGCTGGTTCACCCTCCAATGGCCGCCGCTGCAGCCGGCGCACCGCGCTGATCCGATGGCAGGAGCCAGGATCCAGGTGCTTTTCCTGGTCTCCCATGGGGTGCAGGGCCCAAGCACCTGGGCCGTCCTCCACTGCACTCCCTGGCCATAGCAGAGAGCTGGCCTGGAAGAGGGGCAACCGGGACAGAATCCGGCGCCCTGACCGGGACTAGAACCCGGTGTGCCGGCGCCGCAAGGTGGAGGATTAGCCTATTGAGCCACGGCGCCGGCTTATCGCTTCAATTTTTTACATGTGCTATTACTATACAAAGAACACATTTAATGTAGTTCATAGATACAGGTTTTTTTTTAAGATTTATTTTTTATTTATTTGAAAGGCAGAGTTAGAGAGAGAGAGAGAGTGACAGACATCTCCCATCTGCTGGTTCATTCCCCAGTGACCCCCAACAGTCAGGGCTGGGCCAGACCAAAGCCAGGAGCTTCTTCCAGGTCTCCCATGTGGGTGCAGGAGCCCAAACACATAGGGCATCTTCCGCTGCCTTCCCGGGTGCATCAGCAGGGAGCTGGATCAGAAGTGGAGCAGCTGGGAATCAAACTGGTGCCAGAGGGATGACGGTGTCACAGGCTGCGGCTTTACCTGCTGCACCACAGCCCCGATCGATATAGCTCTCAGAGTGTAGTCATGCATCCCCTCCTCTTCCCTCTCTCAGCTTTGTCTTCCCTGCACCTGTACCTGTAGCCCAGGACTCTGGAGGGGCCGCAGCAGAGGGCCTGGCCTGTCGGGGAGTCTCTGTTCCTTACCGGCCAGAAAGGGCTCTCCCCAGGCTGATTTTGCCTGCTGGGGCGCCTCTGGCCGTGTCTGCCGACATTATCATAGCTGCGGGGGCGGGGCTGCTCCTGGCACCTGGTGGCCAGGGCCGGGGGTGCTGCCAGACAGCCCTGCCCTCCCCTAACCATGTGCGGAGAAGCCTGGGCTGTGGTGGGTGCTGCTCTGGGGGCTTCTGTCTCCCGGGGGGTGAGGTTTCTCAGCCCTGGGGTGGGGTGCACAGGCTCCTGGGAGAGGAGCTTGGAGGAGGACAGGAGGTGTGCAATGGCTGCGCTGGGACCGGCAGCTCCCAGGAGACGTGGGCGGGCAGGGTCTGAGCCACGCTGGCCCTGGAGGCTGCAGTGGGCATTTTGCTGGTCTGCCTCACACACTGGTGGTTGGGGGGAGCCTGGAGCCCAGAGCTGGACTCGTCTGGGTTCAGATCTCAGCTGTGCCCCACGCTGGCCGGGAGCAGGGCTGGGTGTCTGAGACAGATGACTTAGCCTCTGTCCTCGATGTCTCGTCTTTTACAAGGGGACAGCAGTAGCCTTACTGGGTTCCCATGCTGTAAGTGAGGGCGTGGTGGGCCCAAAGTCGTCGTCGTCAGGCGTCCTAGTCACAAGCGGCCTTGCCAGCAGCTAGCATGTAGGGACAAAGAAGGAAGACCCGAGGTTGCCCCAGGGCTGTTCTTCCCCGTGGCCAGGCCACAGGACCGAGGGTTAGGTGGGGAGGGGGTCCCTGCCCAGTGCTGAGAGCCCAGGTAGGCAGCCCCCAGGTGTGGCACAGAGCAGGAGGGGGAGTGATGAGTGAGTGCGGCATGACCATGGGTGGCAAGGGTGTCCTGGAGGTGAGGGAGGGATTGAGCCAGGTGCTGGGAGCAGGGAGGTGGAGCCTGCAGTTGGACGGCCGCTCGTGGGCCAGGGAGCCTGGAGTGCACAGGCGCAGGCTCAGGGCCACGCCACCTCCCGCTGGACGGCCGCTCGTGGGCCAGGGAGCCTCGGTGAGGTTGTGGGGTCCGGCTGGGCTTCAGTTAAGTCAGCGCAGTGGGCAGGTGACTGTTCCGGGGTGCAGTGGATGGGTGCAGAGCGGGGACTGCGCTCTGCGTTGGCTGGGAGACGTGCCCGAGCCTGTCCATCAGCAGCTCCCTGCGCCGGCCGGGCCATCCCCTCGTCCCCTGTATGGGACGGCCACCCACGAGAGGCGGATTCCTGCTCACAGGTGCAGCGCAGTGCCTGGGCCCCGTGTGAGGGCCTCAGCGCTGTGTCCTCCTGCCCTGGGAGTGCCCCTCACTGCCAGCCCTGATGGAGGGGACGTCTGGCTCCTAAAGAAATGCGGCCCCACGACGCGGACAGCGCGGAGGTTGGGGGGCTCTGGAATGCGCGGACAGCGGACGGCGTGGAGGTTGGGGGCTCTGGAATGCGCGGACAGCGCGGGGGTTCGGGGGCTCTGGAATGCGCGGACGGCGCGGAGGTTGGGGGGGGGCTCTGGAATGAATAGCTGCTCTTAACTAAAAGAGCAGCAACGCAAATCGTGGAGTAGAAGCCTTTGAAATGCAGTCTGGTTTGCTCTTCACCTGTAGGATGTTTTTTATCTTTTTAAAGATTTATTTATTTATTTGAAAGGCAGAGTTACAGAGATAGAGAAGAGGCAGAGAGAGAGAAAGAGAGAGAGTCTTCCATCTGCTGGTTCACCCCCTATTTGGCCGCAACGGCCGGAGCTGCACTGATCTGGAGCCAGGAGCTTCCTCTGGGTCTCCCACGTGGGTGCAGGGGCCCAAGGACCTGGGCCATCCTCTACTGCTTTCCCAGGCCATAGCAGAGAGCTGGATCAGAAGTGGAGCAGCTGGGGCTAGAACCGGTGCCCATATGGGATGCCAGTGCTTCAGGCCAGGGCGTTAGCCCCTTGCGCCACAGCGCCAGCCCCTGTAAAATTTTTTTCAATCTTTTTTTCCTCTCAAAAATGTCAGCTTGGCTCATCCCTGTACAGATTCTGAATCGCTGTCATCCAACGATGAGGCTTTGTTAAATGTGCTTTTTACCCTCGTGCTTGTGGTCGCCCTGGTGGCTGGGCAGTGCTGTGTGGGGAGGGTGGATGGATCCGAGAACCGCGCCGCCTCTCTTCCCAGATATTTGTGGACAACTTTGTGCACGCGGACCTCCACCCTGGGAACATCCTGGTGCAGGGAGCCCACGGTCGCCCCACGAGCTGGGAGGCACAGCTACAGACGCTGGACATTTGCGACACGCTGGTGGTGGCCGCGATGCCCACCCCGACCCCACTGCGCCTGGTGCTGCTGGACGCAGGCATCGTGGCCGAGCTGCGCCCCGCCGACCTGCAGAACTTCCGGGCAGTTTTCACGGCCGTGGCCCTGGGGCAGGTGAGGCCTCCCAGAACCACGGGGTCGGGGCTGAGTCTCCGCCCCACGCGGAGCTCCCCAGCCCTGGTCGATCCTGTAAACGCTCCCGCTGAAGCCAGTGCGGCGAGAGATGAGGCCCCTGGGTCTCACCCGCTCGCCCGAGCCTGAGGCCAGTCTCAGCAGCTGATGGTGTGCGGTCTCTTTTCCAAACGCTGCGGTGCCCTGGAAGTTCTCTTCCTCCTTCTGCAAGGGTACAGGTGCGCACCAGGACTGTAGCTTCTTTTTTTAAAAAAATTAAGTTTTCTCTAAAAATTTATTATTTATTTGAAAGAGTGACAGAGACGGAGGGAGAGACAGCGAGATCTTCCATCCGCTGGTTCATTCCCCAGATGGCCGCAATGACTGGGGCTGGGCCAGGCTGTAGCCAGGAGCCAGGAGCTCATCTGAGTCTCCCACGTGGGTGCAGGGACCCAAGCACTTGGCCCGTCCTCTGCTGCCTTCCCAGATGTGTTAGCAGAGAGCTGGGTTGGAAGTGGAGCAGCCGGGACTCGAACCCTTGAAGGCAGTGGCTTAACCTGCTGGGCCACCTTGCTGGCCCCAGGAACCGTGGCTTCTTGTCCGAGTGCTGGCTGCTTCTGTGCCCTTCCTGCGAGAAGCCGCAGTGCGAATGGGGCCAGGCAGGTTGGACTCTCTGGAGAGGGGCTGTGTGAGGTTCCCGACCTCTGCGTGATTCTGAGGGGCTCAGAGGTTGAGAGAGGAGAGGGGCACAGCAAAGCCCTGGGTCTATTTTTATGATTTATTTATTTGAAACAGAGTTACAGAGAGAGAGAGAGAGAGAGAGTCTTCCAACCACAGGTTTACCCCACAAATGGCCCAACAGCTGGAGCTGGGCGGATCAGGAGCCAGGAGCTTCTTCCAGGTCTCCCACGCACGTGCAGGGGCCCAGCTGTCTGGGGCATGTCCCACTGCTTTCCCAGGCAGGCAGGGAGCTGGATCGGAGCGGGAGCAGCTGGTACTTGAACCTGCGTCCATATGGGATTCCAGAGCCGGAGGTGGAGGCTGAGCCCACTACACCACAGCGCTGGCCCCAAAGCCTCTTCTGAGTCAAGTCAAAATGCTGTGGCCAGGGCGAAGGAGAAGAAATCCTGCTGGTCTGTGGGGGAGAACATCCTAGCAGGAAGGACCTTGGGGGAAAACCTGCCTTAAAAAACTAGTGTAAGATTCAGGGGGAGGCCCCGCTCAGAACTCCCGGGTCAGGGCGCCTGAGCCTGGGGAGGGGGCCTGCTCAGAGACTCCCGGGTCAGGGCGCCTGAGCCTGGGGAGGGGGCCTGCTCAGATACTCCCGGGTCAGGTGCTGAGGGCTGGGGCCTGGGGAGGCCCTGCTCAGAGACTCCCGGGTCAGGTGCTGAGAGCTGGGGCCTGGGGAGGGAGGCCCTGCTCAGAGACTCCCGGGTCAGGTGCTGAGAGCTGGGGCCTGGGGAGGGGGGCCCTGCTCAGAGACTCCCGGGTCAGGGTGCTGAGAGCTGGAGCCTGGGGAGGGGGGCCCTGCTCAGAGACTCCCGGGTCAGGTGCTGAGGGCTGGGGCCTGGGGAGGGGGGCCCTGCTCAGAGACTCCCGGGTCAGGGCGCCTGAGCCTGGGGAGGCCCTGCTCAGAGACTCCCGGGTCAGGTGCTGAGGGCTGGGGCCTGAGGAGGGGGGGCCTGCTTAGAACTCCCGGGTCAGGGCGCCTGAGCCTGGGGGGCCCTGCTCAGAGACTCCCGGGTCAGGGTGCTGGGAGCTGGGGCCTGGGGAGGGGGGCCCTGCTCAGAGACTCCCGGGTCAGGGTGCTGGGAGCTGGGGCCTGGGGAGGGGGGGCCTGCTCAGAGACTCCCGGGTCAGGGTGCTGAGAGCTGGGGCCTGGGGAGGGGGGGCCTGCTCAGAGGCCCCGGGTCAGGGTGCTGAGGGCTGGAGCCTGGGGAGGCCCTGCTCAGAGACTCCCGGGTCAGGTGCTGAGGGCTGGAGCCTGGGGAGGCCCTGCTCAGAGGCCCTGGGTCAGGGTGCTGAGGGCTGGAGCCTGCAGCCCTGGACAAGTGTCCTGGGAGGGCGGATGTTGTGGCACAGCGGGTAAAGCCTCTGCCGGTGATGGCCACTTTACGTCTGATCCAGCGCCCTGCTGATGGCCTAGAAAAAGCAGCAGATGGCCCACGTGCTTGGGCCCCGCCAACCCTTTGGGTGCTTTGGGAGAGCCCTATGAGGCTCCAGGCTCTGGCTTCAGCCTGTCCTGTCCCTGGCCATCGTAGCCATCTGGGGAGTGAACAAGCAAACAGAAGCTTGCTTTCTTGCCCTCTCTCTCTCTCTCTCTCTTTGTATCTCTCGGTCTCTGTCTCTTTCTCTGTGTGATTCAGACTTTCAAAATAAATAAATCTTAAAAGCGTGTCCTGGGGCCAAGGTTAAACCCGAGGCACAGGGAGGGTAGGCTGGGGGCTGAGGTCAGAGGTCATAGCCTGGTTCCTGTGTGTGCTGTGGAGGGGATGGTATCAGTAGTGACCATCATGGTTGGGCTGCATGTTCTGGGAGACCACTAAGGCCTGGGGGGGGGGGGTGCCTGGGGAAGGGAGGTGTGGAGAAGGCAGCTGGGCCACTGAGGCCGGTCAGCTCAGGCAGGACAGCCTCCATCAGAGCCTGGCTGATGTGGCCCAACGGCAGGGCCAGCCTGCGGTGCTGGGTGGGGCACGGGCAGCAGGATGCCGGCTCTGCCCGGTGCCCTGTGTGGTCTTGCAGAGTGTAGGAGACTTGCACACCCTTACCTTGGCCTTGGTGAGCGCAGGCAAGGCCAGCTGACCGGCAGAGATGTGGGGGACTGTGGCCAGAAGCAGGTGTTGTGAAGAAAACAGGGGCCCACAAGCAGGATGGCGGGAGCCGAGAGCTGGGAGCAGCTGGGACAGACAGAGGTCTGGGCAGGAAGTTCTCGCTTGCCGCCCTGCCGACTCCGCCCGTCTCGTTTCTTCTGCATCCCGCAGGGCCGCAGAGTGGCTGAGCTCATCCTGTGTCACGCCCGGGCCAGCGAGTGTGGGGACGTGGAGGGCTTCAAGGCTGAGATGGCCACGCTGGTGGCCCAGGCCAGGAAGAACACCATCACGCTGGAAAAGGTGGGCAGCGCGTGGACGGGGCGAGGCCAGGTCTAAGGGAGGCCTCTGAGAGGTGGAGGGGAGTAAGGGACAGGCCTCCTCCTCCCCCGTCTCCCAGGAGGGAGGAGGCTGGGGGAGCAGCAGAACGAGGCCATGTTCCTGTCTCTTACGAGGCCTCACGCAAGGCCCACCTGTATTTTACAAAGAGTCCTTTTTTTTTTTTTAAGGTTTATTTTTATTTATTTGATAGACACAGTTACAGAAAGAGGGAGAGACAGAGAGTCTTCCATCCACTAGTTCACACCCCAAGCAATGGCCAGGGCTGGGCCAGACAGAAGCCAGGAGCCAGGAGCTTCACCCTGGTCTCCCACGTGGGTGCAGGGCCCAAGCACGTGGGCCATCCTCCACTGCCTTCCCGGGCACATCAGCAGGGAGCTGGATTGGAAGTGGGGCAGCTGGGGCTTGAACTGGCGCCCACATGGGATGGCAGCGTCACAGGTGGTAACTTTATCTGCTACCCCACTGTGCCAGGTCTGGCAGACTTACTGTTTCCTCCCCAAGTTCGTGGCCCAGCTCGGCAGGAGCAGGTGATGCGCGAGGAGCGGCCATGGGGTTGCTGCCGTGGCCAGTCGCGTCAGTTCAGAGGGTCAGAGGGGATTTTGTGTGCGGGGTGGGATGGCGTGCAGGGGCCTCCAGGGCTTGTCCTGAGCCCGAGGTGGGCTGGGGGTAGTCCTTCCTGGGGTTTTTCCTCTCGCCCTCCCCGCGTGTGTGGGGCTGAGCGTGTGGGCAGCTCTGGGTTCTGGAAGCCGCCTCAGTCTGCGCTGTGCTGTCTTGTTTTCAGCTTGACGTTTCCAGCCTTCTGTCCAGTGTCTTCAAGCTGCTGATGACCCACAGGGTGAGGCCCCGGTTGGGGGCGGGGGGGGGGCGGTGTGCGGCCGTTGGGGTGGGTGCTGAGCCGTTTGGAAGCATCTCTAGCTCATCTGTGTGAGGAATGCTGGTGTGGCTTCCCGACACAGCCGGGCAGGGCCTTTCCTTCCAGGCGGCGCAGTCTGTGGGTCAGGTCTGTGCGGTGCGGCTGCCTGCGGTCGCCGGGCGGGGACAGCTGCGTTAGCATGCTCCTGCGGTCTGGCTGCACGGTGGGTGGTGCTTGGGCGCTCGGCTCCTCCCTGAGCGGGGTGGAGTGCTGGGGTCAGCGGGCTGCCTGAAGGGGCGGAGCCTCCCCGGCCTGCTCCCGGCACTGGCTCCTGTGATGGAGTGTGGGTCAGGGCTGAGCTCCTGATCCTGGGGGGCGAGGCCTGGGGGCCTCCTCCAGCGACGGCCTTCCTGTTGGCAGAGCCCAACATGGCAGCAGACAGGGAGCGAGGGCAGGTGCGTGTCGTCTGTGCACCTGGACTCTTCTTCCTCCGAATATCTCCGCGTGAGGATGCAGCCTTGGGGGCCCCCAACTGCAATCCAAACCGTGGCCAGGGAGGAGACGGGGAGCTGTCGTCCGAGGTCCTGCAGTCTGAGGATGGATTGCTAAGGCTCATGCCAGAGAGTCAGAGCGGGGCCATTGCCTGCTCTGCAGCTGCACCCACGTCAGGGCCAGGGTCGTCTCGGGCGGCGTTGTGGTGGGGCAGGGACAGCCCCTGTCCCTCAGGTCCCTGCTGACGCACCGGGGATAGCAGCAGAAGCCGGCCCAGGTGTCCCCAGCTGTTGCGGCCATCTGCTGAGTGAACCAGCGGGGGGAAGTCTCCCTCCCTCTCCCTCTGTAACTCTGACTTTAAAACACACACACAAACAAAACAACGAGGACAACAAGGATGCACGGGTCTCTCAGGCCTGCACTCTCCCGGGCTCCCACACCACGCGGGGTGGGGTGTGCTGACGCAGACGGAAGGGCTGCGGCTGGCACACACGGGAATTCCGTTCACCGTGGAGCTGCCTGGTGCTTCCCACACGGCGTCTCGGCTTGACCTCAGGGTGGCCCTGCAGGTGGGGAGACGCCTACTGTGCCATGCGGAGGGGGTTCCCCCAGAGACTGGGGCACAGACAGGTTGACTAGCCAGCTGCCCAGGTGCTGTTGACCGCGTGCCGTGGAGCTGAGGCCTGGACACTTAGCTCTAACTCCAGAGTTGGCTTTGTTGGTGGGGCTTTTTAGTTTTGATGAAAAACTTTGCCTTCCAAAACTTTTGACAAAGTTCTGTTTTAAAAATGATGTGAGTATCAGCTTAGGCTTGGGAGTGAGCTGTCTTCATCGCTAGGCGCTGCTGGGGGAGAAGCAGGTGTGAGTTCTTAGGAGTTCAGCAGGAACAAAGGGCTGAGGCTCACACCCAGTCCCATCCCCCACCTTCTCCGACCTGCACAACCTGCCGGAGCCCACAGGGCCTCCCCAAGGGCCAGATGAGGCCAGGATAACAGTGGTCGAAGCAGTGCATCCTGCGCTCGCTCTGTGGGCCCTGTGGTGCCCCATCTGCTGCACAATGCCCAGTGGAACTGAGTTTACTCCCCCCGACAGGCCAAGCAGTGTGTCCGTGACCACACAGGCAGTGCCAGGAGCCACGTGCTCCATCTGGCCACGGAGCCCCACTCCCGGTGCCTTTGTTCCCGGCAGCCTCTCTGCTTGTACTCTGCACAGACACTGCTGATATGCGGGGGGGACCCGACCACCCGAGTTCTCCAGATTCGTGCTGCTGCTGCTGCTGTCCCCAGGGTGGAAGAACAGAGAGAAGGCCTGATATAGATGTTATATTCTTTTTTAAAATTATTTGAAAGGCAGAGTGTAAGAGAGGGCAAGACAGAGATCTTCTATCTGCTGGTTCACTCCCCAAGTGGCTGCAAAGGCTGGGGTTGGGTCAGGTTGAAGCCAGGAGCCTGGAACTCTATCTGGGTCTCCCTCCCACGTCGGTGCAGGAGCCCAAGCCCCTGGGCTGTCTTGTACTGCTTTGCCAGGAATCAGAAGTGGAGCAGCCGGCACTCAAACCGGCACCCATATGGGATGCTGGCGTTGCATGTGGAGGCTTAACCCGCTGTGCCATAAGGCCATCCCCTAAGCACTTTATTGGTCACTTAGCTAAAACTACTTGTTATTGAAGTAACACACATATAATAAAAATGTATCTCCCCAGCCATCTCCAAGTACACAGTTCATCAGTGTCAGCTACGTGCATGTTGTTGGGTAACAGATCCCTAGAACGTTTTAATCTTTTTTTTTTTTTTTCTTGACAGGCAGAGTTAGACAGTGAGAGAGAGAGACAGAGAGAAAGGTCTTCCTTCCGTTAGTTCACTCCCCTAATGGCCACCACAGCTGGCACTGTGCGCCGATCCAAAGCCAGGAGCCAGGTGCTTCCTCCTGGTCTCCCATGCGGGTGCAGGCGCCCAAGGACTTGGGCCATCCTCCACTGCACTCCCGGGCCACAGCAGAGAGCTGGACTGGAAGAGGGGCAACCGGGACAGAATCCGGTGCCCCAACCGGGACTAGAACCCGGGGTGCCGGCGCCGCAGGCGGAGGATTAGTCAAGTGAGCTGTGGCGCCGGCCAAACGTTTTAATCTTGAAACTGGAGCCCTGTGCCCATTGAACCAATTCCCTCTTCATGGAGCTACCACTTTATCTTCTGTTTCCATAATCTTGCCTCCTCAGCATTCCTCACACAAATGGGATCATACGACATGGCCCCTTTGTATCTGGCTTATTTTATTCAACACAATGTTCTCCAGGTTCATCCATGTTGTCCCGTATGTACTAGTCAGCTCTCCATTCCTTAAAATTACCTGAGGGGCTGGTACTGTGGCATAGCGGGTAATGCCGCCGTCTGCAGTGCCGGCATCCCATATGGGCGCTGGTTTGAGTCCTGGCTGTTCCACTTCTGATCCAGCTCCCTGCTGTGGCCTGGAAAAGCAGCGGAGGATGGCCCAAGTCTTTGGGCCCCTGAACCCTCGTGGGAGACCTGGAAGAAGCACTTGGCTCCTGGCTTTGGATCAGTGCAGCTCTGGCTGTTGGGTCATTTGGAGAGTGAGTGAATCAGTCGATGGAAGATCTCTTTCTCTCTCTCTCTAACTCTGCCTTTCAAACAAATAAATCTTTTTTTTAAAGATTGATTTTTTTTTATTTGAAAGGCAGAGTTAGAGAGAGAGAAAGGGAGAGGCACAGAGAGATCTTTCTCCCGATTCACTCCACAAATGGCTTTTCGCAATGGCAGGACTTGGGCCAGACCAAAGCCAGCAGCCAGGAGCTTCTTCCAGGTCTCCCATGTGGGTGCAGGGGCCCAAGGACTAGGACCATTTTCCGCTGCTTTCCCAGGTGCGTTAGCAGGGAGCTGGATGGGAAGTGGAGCAGCTGGGACTGTAACTGGCATTCATATAGGATGCTGGTGTTTCAGGCAGTGGCTTAACCCACCGTGCCACAACACTGGCTCCTGATTTTTTTAAAAAATTAAAGTATGTATTTAACAGTAACACAGAGATAATAGTACAATGCATACCGCTCAGCTTCAGAATGAAGCATCCCCAGGAGTAGTGTGTAGGCCCAGGCCCCTCCCCGACTACAGCCTAGTGCCGAGGGCCCCTGTCCCCACTCCTGCCCAGGCTGGAACTGCCCACGCTGCTCCTGGGACCGTGCTGCCCTCTCAGCCATCTTCCAGGCCTCAGCTGGGACAGATGGTTTCCCTGTGAGCCAGCCTTCCATTTTCTGACCCAGTGTCTGAGTTTAAATCCTGCCTCTGTTCATTCTCACTAAGTGGCTTTTTTTTTTTTTTTTAAAGATTTATTTTGTCTATTTGAAAGGAAGAGTTGAGGCCGATGCTATGGTGTAGTGGGTAAAGCCGCAGCCTGTGGCGCTGGCATTCCATATGGGCACTGGTTCGAGGCGTGGGTGCTCCACTTCTAATTCGACTCCCTACTAATGCGCCTGGGAAAGCTGCAGAAGACTGCCTACGTGCTTGGGCCCCTGCACCCACCTGGGAGACCCAGGAGAAGCTCCTGGCCCCTGGCTTCCATCTGGCCCAGTCCTGGCTATTGCAGCCATCTGGGGAGTGAACCAGCAGATGGAAGATTTCTCTCTCTCTCTAACTCTGCCCTTCAAATCAATCAATCAATCAATCTTTTTTTTTTTTTTTAAAGGTAGAGTTACAGGGAGAGGGAGAAGGAAGGGAGGGAGGGAGGGAGGGAGGGAGGGAGAGAGAGAGAGAGAGAGAGAGAGAGAGAGAGATAAATGAATCTTTCCATCCACTGGCCCACTTCCCAGATGGCCACAAGCGGCTGGAACTGGGCCAGTCTGGAGCCAGGAGCCAGGAGCCTCTTCTGGGTCTCTTGTACGGGTGCAGGAGCCCAAGGATTTCTGGGCCATCTCTCCTGCTTTCCTAGGCACATTTAGCAGAGAGCTGGATCAGAAGTGGAGCAGCCGGGACTCAGATGGCCTTACGGGATGCTGGCGTCACAGGTGGCAGCTTTGCCCGCTGTGCCATGATGCCAGCCCCAGGCCACTTACCCTCCCTGAGCTGTGGCTTCCTCCCCTACAGAGTAAGGGTAGCGAGTGCCTTGGAGAGTAGTTGAGCATTCCAGATAGATTCCTGCCGAGAGCAGCCCGAGTCCAGTGCTCTGCATGACTGAGCAAAGTCAAGTCTGCGAGGACTGAAGAGGGCTGCTCTGGATTTGGAATGACGACACCCATCTAGGTTTGTTGTTTCTGCTGTAGCTGTGGAATGTCCGCTTGATTATTTCTAAGCCACACACAGACCCCTAGAAAGGCACACTTTGCGTCTCAGGCTGTTTCCTTACGTTCTGTGGATGAGACGGTGCACGGTTAGGCTCACGTGGTGGGACTGGACGTCAAGAGTGCACAGTGCCATGATCCAGGAGCGTCGTCCCCACGTCTGGGGGCTGCAGCAGGAAACCCCGTTTTCTGTTTCAGGTGAAGCTTGAGAGCAACTTCGCCTCGATTGTGTTTGCCATCATGGTGTTGGAGGGGCTCGGCCGCTCGCTGGACCCCAAGCTGGACATCCTGGAGGCAGCAAGGCCTTTCCTTCTCAGAGGGCCAGTGTCGTCCCCTGACGGTGGCGGGGGTGTGCCGCGAGCTGCATGGGGGAGCTGAGGGCTGCTCCCAGGGGCCTCTCTGGCTGCGGGAACGTTTAGCTTTAGGGCACCGGGAGGGCACAGCAGCCGTGATTTGATTTCGGGGTCTGTTTGGAAAGCTGGGGTTACCTGGGGAGAACGAGGCGGGAAGGGCCCCGTCACTCCGTGTGCAGGGTGGGCCCGGTGCCAGGGACACTCTTCATGGGAGCACTCTCTGGAGAGGAATGCAGTCACGTCCTCCCGTTTTCCCTTCGTACTCGTCTTCACTCCCTAGTCACCGTTGGCAGTGCTCGATTCTCATTTTTAGGCTAAAAACTGTCGTAAAATCCTGTAGACCTGTGGTTTGAGGATTTCCCCTCATTGGTAAAAGGTTGACAGTACACAGACGTGCACACACGGTGCTACCACCACTAGCAAATCTCTCAAGGGAAAACACACTCTCAAAGAAAATCTCATGTACTTCAAAGTATCTTGTTGATAGTTTAATATCTTGATGACTTCTTGCTAAAGCTTGTTACCAAAGCTTCACCAAGTAAAACAATGACTTTTTTTTTTGGACAGGCAGAGTGGACAGAGAGAGAGAGAGACAGAGAGAAAGGTCTTCCTTTGCCGTTGGTTCACCCTCCAATGGCTGCTGTGGCCAGCGCACCGTGCTGATCTGAAGCCAGGAGCCAGGTGCTTCTCCTGGTCTCCCATGGGGTGCAGGGCCCAAGCACCTGGGCCATCCTCCACTGCACTCCCTGGCCACAGCAGAGAGCTGGCCTGGAAGAGGGGGAACCGGGACAGAATCTGGAGCCCCGACCAGTACTAGAACCCGGTGGGCAGGCGCCGCAAGGCGGAGGATTAGCCTAGTGAGCCGCGGCATCGGCCAGAACAATGATTTTTAAAAGTATTTATTTGAGGCTGGCATTTCCACTTGTGATGCCAGTATTTCATATGGGTGCCGATTTGGGTCCCGGCTGCTCCACTTCCTATCTAGCTCCCTGCTGATGGCCTGAGAGGGCAGCAGAATGTGGGAGACCAGATGAAGCTCCTGGCTCTTGGCTTCAGCTTGGCTGGGCCCTGGCTGTTGTGGCCATCTTGGGAGTGAGCCAGTGCATGGAAGCCCTCTCTGTCTCCCTGTCTCTGTGTGTCACTCTGCCTTTCAAATAAATACAATAAATCCTAAAAAACCCAAAGATTTATTTATTTATTTGAAAGGCAGAGTGACACGCAGAGAGGGAGACAGATCTCCCATCTGCTGGTTCACTCCCCAGTGGCCACCATGGCTGGGGCTGGGCCAGGCGGAAGCCAGGAGTCAGGAGCTCCATCCAGGTCTCTCACGTGGGTAGCAGGGAGCTGGGTTACAAGTGGAGGAGCCACGGGGCTGGCTCCGTGGTGCAGTAGGTTAATCCTCTACCTGCGGCACCGGCATCCCATATGGGCACTGGTTCTAGTCCTGGCTGCTCCTCTTCCAGTCCAGCTCTCTGCTATGGCCTGGGAAAGCAGTAGAAGATGGACCAAGTGCTTGGGCCCCTGCACCTGTGTGGGAGACCCTGAAGAAGCTCCTGGCTCCTGGCTTTGGATCAGCCCAGCTCCAGTCGTTGTGGTCATCTGGGGAGTGAACCAGTGGATGGAAGACCTTTTTCTCTGTCTCTCCCTGTCCCTGTCTATAACTCTACCTCTCAAATAAAAAAAAAAAAAACAACTTTAAACAAGTGGAGGAGCTAGGACTTGAACCCTGCTCCCATATGAGAAGCTGGTGTAGCGGGTGCGGTTTAGCCTCCTGCCCCATAGCGCAGGCTCCCAAAGCGATGATTAGTGTGGCTGACAGACAGACAGGAGCAGACTGAGCTCTGTTCCCCGGGACTTCAACGCTGTTGCTCACTGCGGTTTCTCTGCGTCAGTGGGTTAATTTTGGTTAACTTGCAGTTGTCGTGACCGGTATATCCTCTTCTCCAAGAGCTTGAGGCCCGAAGCAGCACCCAGTGGCGCCTGTGCTCGCTGCCCCTCGCTGTGCCCACCCGTGGACTGTCGTCTACAGATGCTGTGACATGTGGCTGGCTGACAGGACTGCCGGATTCCAGGGCCAGTAGAGTGGGCACTAGTGAGGCTTAATTTCTTATGTCTTTACATGAAAAAACCCACATTTTATCCCTGCACCCCAGGGATTACCTTGCGTGTCTTGGAGACCTCCGCAGTCAGCGGTCGATGGGAAGTTAAGCCGTTTGCTCTCCAAAGTCCTGCGCTGACCACTGGACGAGATTCGTCCGCTCTTCCTTCATCAGGATGAAGTTCATTTCTTTTATTTCTTTTTAAGTTTTTATTTATTTGAGAGCAGACAGACACAGAGCCTCCTTCCCAGGCTCACTCTCCAGATGCCCAAAGTAGTCTGGAGTGAGGGAGGCTTGGGGTTGGGAGCCCAGAACTTGGGCTGGGTCTCCCACGTGGGTCGCAGGGACTCACGCACTTGAGCCGTCACCTGCTGGCTCCCAGGTGCACCAGGAGCCAGCAGGAGCCTGCGTAAAAGCCATCCAGAGCTCAGTGGTTTAAAACAGCAGCACCGCCGCTCCGAGTTTCTGTGCCTCAGACATCTGCGTGTGGGTTAGCTGGGTCCTGCAGCTCAGGTCTTCCTGGCCAGGGTCTCTTGAGGCTGGGGTGTGTGTGGTACAGTGGTCAGCCGCCTCTTGGGACTCCCATGTCCCATGCTGGAGTGCCCAGGTTCATTGTCCGGTCCACAACCCTGGAAGGGAGCAGCTGACGGCTCGAGTGCTTGGATCCCTGCTGCTCTCACGGGAGACCCAGGTGGGGCTCCGGGCTCCTGGCTTTGACTTTGCTCTGTGCTGAGGACATCTGGGGAGTGAGCCAGTGGATGGAAGATCTCACCTTCTCTCTCTGCCTTTCAAATATAGGAAGAAATAAATAACTTTTTAAAAAGGAAAAAAGTGGAGCTGGTGTTGTGATGTGGCTGGAAAGTCACCACCTGTGATACTGGCATCCCATAGGGGTCCCAGTTTGTGTCCCTGCTGATGGCCTGGGAAAGCAGCAGAAGACAGCCCAAGCGTTTGGGCCCCTGCCACCCATGGGGGAGACCTGGGAGAAGCTCCTGGTTTCCACCTGGCCCAGCCACGGCCGCTGCAGCTGCTTGGGGAGTGAACCTGCAGGTGGAAACCCTCTCTCTCTCTCTGCCTCTGCTTCTCTATAACTCTGCCTTTCAAATAAATAAATCTTTAAAAAATAATCAAAGCTAAACTAAATTTCATTTATGAAGTTACTGCCTTAGGGGAAGGCCGCTTGCCTGGGTATAAGTGGACAGAGTGACAGCACGGCATTTCTCCCGAAGCGAGATCATGGTTCAGTTCCCTCTTCCTGCCAAGACTCTCGGGGAAGAGAGATCAAGTCGGCCCGGCCAGGGAGAAAGTGGGAACAGCTTCCCTGTCTTCTCGCTGTGTCGTGTTTCCGGCTGTGGAGAGGCTGCTGACTGGGCTGCTCAGTTGCTCTCATACTGTCACACTGGGAGCCTGATTTGCAGTGAGAAGCCGAGCGCCCGGTGCCGGATCCGGGGATCCCTTCCCTCGCCTTCGGCAGTGTGGTGTCAGGCGGGGTGCCCGTCTGATAGCCAGCAGCCCACAGAAGGCAGGGAGGGATGCCTGCCCTTGGAGTTCTGAGAGCAGGTGTGGAAGACAAGGGCGTCCGCTGTCCCAGTCACACAGTTTAATGATGGCATACGAAGAACCCAGAATGTGTGTTGCAAGGTTAAAGCCAAGGACGGACAGGTGTTCTACACAGATCCACACTGCTGATTGGGAACCCACTGTGGCCCAGTGGGGTGAGCCCACCCCCGTGTCTGGGGGCCCACAGCCCTTACTGGGTGCTCCCTGCTAATGTGCCTGAGAGGCAGCAGATAACGGCTCACCCACTTGGATTCCTGCCCCAAGATGGCATTGTGGGCTCCTGACTTCAGTCCAGACCAGTCCTGGCTGGTGGCCATGCGGGGAGTGAACCAGCAGATGGAAGGTAACTTGCTCTCTGTCACTCTGCCTTGCAAATAAACACATCTTAAAACAAAAAAAGAGTAAGGCTGGTGTTATGGCGAAGCAGGTAAAGCTGCTGCCTGGGGCAACGGCATCCCATATGGGCGCCAGTATCCCGCAGGAGCGCTGGTTCAAGTCCCTACTGCGCTACTTCCACTCCAGCTCCTGGGAATGCACCTGGGAAAGCAGCAGAGGATGGCCCGCGTGCCTGGGCCCCCGCACCCACGTGGGAGACTTGGAGGAAGCTCCCGGCTCCTGGCTGTTGCAGCTGTTGGGGGAGTGAACCAGCAGATGGAAGATCTCTTTTTCAAGTAAATGAATAAATCTTAAGAAAAAAAGAATAGAAATAAAGCAAGCATTAAAGGCCGGGGAGGAAGAGGGGCAGGGTGCTGCATCTCTTCGGCACCGGGAAAGGAAGGGATAAGCATCTCTGAGGACTTACTGTGGGCCAAGCGACACCGTGGCTCGCAGGCGAAGGCTCTGACCATCGATGCCCGGAGAGCTGAGCCGAGTCACCCGCAGCCGACCGGCAGAGCTGAGTTTTATCTCGAGTCTCCACGTTCCGAGTTGCATGCTCTTTTTAAACTGTGCCTTTTCTGTGGCTCCCTTTGCTGGAAGCAAGGCAGCCACGTAGCTTGGGCAGTGGTCTCCCTGCAGTGAGGGGTCGCCCATCCTCCCGGTCCATGCATTCATCGCCAGTGGATTTTACGTCGCCAGAGACGGTCACTAGTTAAGGGTCGCCCAGCAGGTGCATATCGACTGCAGCAAACGGTGGGAGCTCTCCTCTAATTTCTATGCCACACCCAAGTCAGAAGGGCGGGAGGACGGGGGCGAGGGCAGAGGTCAACCAAGAAGCTGTCCCGGAGGGCCCGGGGTGGCTCCCAGCCCCAGCTCTGCGTGGGTTTACTTTCCTATCACAGAGGCCACAGGGGAGGTGACTCAAGTCTTAGTCTAGATCCATACTTCTCTGCCCGAGTACCCTGGTTTTCAGACTTGTGAGCGGAGAGGGAAACCGCATGGCGCCGTCAGCAGGTCCATTTCAGAATGAGGTTGGCAGGCTGTCTCCAAGGCTCTGGGAGAACCCGTAATCCACACGGCAGACCCGAGGCATTGTGGGGGGAGTCCAGAGAAGCCTGGGTCTAGGAGTGAACAGAGCATTAGTACGAGACGACATCCAGGAATCCAGCGCTGGCCACGGTCAAGGAATTAGAAACAGGTGATGCGGGCCCCGTGGTCCCGCCCAGACTCGACCCGCGTGTCTAGGGTGAGTTCAGACGCTACCAGTCCAGGATCTAAAGGCGGGGCCCGCGGTGCTGGATACTCAAGTCTGCCTCTGCAGAACAGAACGAAGACTTAAGGACAGCATCGTGAGCCCCCTGGGAGACTGCCCGGGCTGCTCTGGGAAAGGCAGGTGCAGGCATGGAGCGCCGCAGCGCAGGGGCGCCGAGTCACCACGCGGCCCCCAGCCTCCCTCCGGGGGCCCGGCTTCTCCCAGCTGACGCCTGAGCCTCCCCACAAAGCACCCGCCCGTGAGACGGCACCCCGAAACCGCCCGCTCCCAGAGGGGGCGTGGCTGGCAGCCGCTTCGAGAGTGGAGCGCCGGCGGCCCTCCTCGGCTTCCGTCGCGCGACACCGCCCACATCCGGCGGGCGCCGCAGGAAGTGACGTGCTCGGGGCGGGCGGGCTTCCGGAGGCGGGCAACATGGCGGCGCTGACCCGGCTGGCCTCTGTCCTTCGCTTCGCAGGCCCTCTCTTCAGAGCGGTGGGAGGCAGTGGAGTCCGTCAGTGAGTGGAGGGTTCGGGTGGGGGCTTCTTCTCCTCCAGGGAAGCGCCGGTCCGCGGACGCCCTCACCTTGAGACCCGGCGCCCAGGCCTGCGCGTGCGCGACGCCGCACCTCGGGGCTCTGCAGGATCGGGCCCGGGCTGGCCGGCTTCGAGGCCCGCCTCTGCCACCCTCCAGCTGTGAGGCTTGGAAACGTCCAGTTTCCTCGCCCTTCTGCTGGGGACAGCCAGTGTCCGTGTCGCTAAATGAGTGACCGTCCCCCAGAGTGTTGAAAACAGTTCCTGCCGCCTAGTAAGGACTGTCGGCAGGAGGGCAGGGGAGGGGACACGCGGGGCCGTTCGTCCGTCCCCGGGGGCTGGCGGCGCTGACGGCGAGCTGGGGGGACCTGGAGGGACCTGGAGGGACCGAGCCCCGGGCGGGGGAGGGGACACGCGGGCGGGGCCGTTCGTCTGTCCCCGGGGGCTGGCGGCGAGCTGGGGGGACCTGGAGGGACCTGGAGGGACCGAGCTCCGGGCAGGGGAGGGGACACGCGGGCGGGGCCGTTCGTCTGTCCCCGGGGGCTGGCGGCGAGCCGGGGGGACCTGGAGGGACCGAGCCCCGGGCAGGGGAGGGGACACGCGGGCCGTTCGTCTGTCCCCGGGGGCTGGCGGCGCTGACGGCGAGCTGGGGGGACCTGGAGGGACCGAGCCCCGGGCGGGGGAGGGGACACGCGGGCGGGGCCGTTCGTCTGTCCCCGGGGGCTGGCGGCGCTGACGGCGAGCCGGGGACCTGGAGGGACCTGGAGGGACCGAGCCCCGGGCAGGGGAGGACGCGTGGAATCGGTGGGAGACGCGCTGGGCTGGACTGGGCTGCGCTCGAGGACCAGGGCTTTTATTCTACTAAAGCAGGAAAGGAGCAGGGTCTGATCTCTGCCGGGCCCCTCCCCACGTGACTGCCACGGCCGGGGCCGGGCCAGACCGGCGCCAGGATCCCGGCACGTGGGTGACAGCGACCCAAGTCCCGGAGCCATCGCCTGAGTCTGCTGGGGAGTGCGCTGGCGGTGTGGGGGTCACCTGCTGCCTGGGGCGGGGGCGGCACCGCGGGGCCACCTACCTGGGGCGGGGAGGGGGTCACCTACTGCCTGGGGAGGGGGCGGCACAGCGGGGCCACCTACCTGGGGTGGGGGGGGCGGCACAGCGGGGTCACCTGCTGCTGCCTGGGGTGGGGGGGCGGCACAGCGGGGTCACCTGTCTGGGGCGGGAGGGGGCGGCACAGCGGGGCCACCTGCTGCTGCCTGGGGAGGGGGCGGCACCGCGGGCTCACCTACCTGGGGCAGGGCGGGGGCGGCACAGCGGGGTCCCTGCTGCTTTCTGGGGCGGGAGGGGGCGGCACAGCGGGGTCACCTGCTGCTTTCTGGGGCGGGGAGGGGGCGGCACAGCGGGGTCACCTGCTGCTTTCTGGGGCGGGGAGGGGGCGGCACAGCGGGGTCACCTGCTGCTGCCTGGGGTGGGGGGGTGGCACAGCGGGGTCACCTGCTGCTGCCTGGGGTGGGGGGGTGGCACAGCGGGGTCACCTGCTGCCTGGGGTGGGGGGGGCGGCACAGTGGGGGCCCCTGCTGCTTTCTGGGGTGGGGGGGCGGCACAGCGGGGTCACCTGCTGCTTTCTGGGGCGGGAGGGGGGCGGCACAGCGGGGTCACCTGCTGCTGCCTGGGGTGGGGGGGTGGCACAGCGGGGTCACCTGCTGCTGCCTGGGGTGGGGGGGTGGCACAGCGGGGTCACCTGCTGCTGCCTGGGGTGGGGGGGTGGCACAGCGGGGTCACCTGCTGCCTGGGGTGGGGGGGCGGCACAGCGGGGGCCCTGCTGCTTTCTGGGGCGGGAGGGGGCGGCACAGCGGGGTCACCTGCTTTCTGGGGCGGGGAGGGGGCGGCACAGCGGGGGCCCTGCTGCTTTCTGGGGCGGGAGGGGCGGCACAGCGGGGCCACCTGCTTTCTGGGGTGGGGGGGGCGGCACAGTGGGGGCCCCTGCTGCTTTCTGGGGCGGGAGGGGGCGGCACAGCCGGGCCCCTGCTGCCCCACCAGGGCGCTGATTTGAGCGCTGACTGCTCTGCTTCTTGCCGGTGTGTCTGGGGAGCAGTGGGCCCTGCAGCCGGCCTGGGAGACCTGGACGGAGTATCTGGCCCGGCTTCTGCCTGGCTCAGCTGTGGCTGCTGCGGGCGTTGGGGATGAACCCGTGGATGGAAGACTCTGTCTGTCTGCCTTTTAAACAAATAAATAAATCTTTAAAAAATTATAAAAAAGTTCATATAAAGAGTGTATTAGGAGAAAGCTGCATAATTTCAACTTTGTATACGTGGAATAGACGTCTTAGTCTTCACAGGCGCTTTGAAGTCCACTCAGGTCTCTGGGACTTCTTCCCTCAGTTCCTGACGGCACCCCGGCCAGGGTCACCTCTGTTCTGGGCCTGGGATGTGTGCCGCCCCGTTCCAGGCCTGACCGTGCAGACGGCGTCCTGGCAGCAAACGCCCATCTGCTCCGGCCCCAGGCTTCCATCCCTCATGCTCCCGGGACTGCGGGCTGGCGTTTCTTCAGGGAGCGAGCGGATTCCTGGCCGTGGGCCGCACCTGCTCTGTGCCCCACACCGTACTGTCCGGGCAGCAGCGCAGGGCTCCTGGCGCGCAGCGCTTCGTGCTTGCTGAATCCCCAGGCTTCCTTTGCACTTGGATTTCTGTCCTTGGTAAATTTCTTTCTTTTCTTTTTGTTTGGTAAAACATTAATCTATTTGAAGGCCAGAGTGACAGAGAGGGAGCGAGAAGGAGCGCGCACATGGGAGATAAATGGGTGTCTTCCACTTGCTAGTCACCCTCAAAATGGCCACAAAGCCCAGGCCTGGCCGAGGTCAAAGCCAGGAGCCTGGAACTCCATCCAGGTCTCTGACGCGCTGGCTTGGACCAAGCGCTCAGGCCAGCTTCTGCTTTCCCAGGCACGTGAGCAGGGGGTTGGGTCAGAAGCCAAGCAGCCAGGATTCTAACTGGTGTTGCACAGTGGGATGCTGGCGTTGCGGGTGGTGGCCCGGCCACTGCAGCACGACGCTGGCCCTCAACTTGCTTTCTTTTGTGCCAGTGATGTTTGAAAAAAATCAGCAAAAGAAAAATTTCACGCAGTATCGTTCCTTCAGTTCGGAGGGTTGTTCAGTGTAGCTAGTCTGGCTCAGTGCAGCGACGGCCTGGTGTGGAACACTGGTAGGAGGTTGTTCAGTGTAGCTGGTTGTTCCTGGTGTGGAACACAGGTAGGAGGTTGTTCATGTAGCTGGTTGTTCCTGGTGTGGAACACAGGTAGGAGGTTGTTCATGTAGCTGGTTGTTCCTGGTGTGGAACACGGGTAGGAGGTTGTTCAGTGTGGCTGGTTGTTCCTGGTGTGGAACACAGGTAGGAGGTTGTTCAGTGTGGCTAGTTTTTCCTGGTGTGGAACACTGGTAGGAGGTTGTTCATGTAGCTGGTTGTTCCTGGTGTGGAACACAGGTAGGAGGTTGTTCATGTAGCTGGTTGTTCCTGGTGTGGAACACAGGTAGGAGGTTGTTCATGTAGCTGGGTGTTCCTGGTGTGGAACACAGGTAGGAGGTTGTTCATGTAGCTGGGTGTTCCTGGTGTGGAACACGGGTAGGAGGTTGTTCAGTGTGGCTGGTTGTTCCTGGTGTGGAACACAGGTAGGAGGTTGTTCAGTGTGGCTGGTTGTTCCTGGTGTGGAACACAGGTAGGAGGGTGTTCATGTAGCTGGGTGTTCCTGGTGTGGAACACGGGTAGGAGGGTGTTCATGTAGCTGGGTGTTCCTGGTGTGGAACACGGGTAGGAGGTTGTTCATGTAGCTGGTTGTTCCTGGTGTGGAACACAGGTAGGAGGTTGTTCAGTGTGGTTGGTTGTTCCTTGTGTGGAACACAGGTAGCTAGGAGTTTGGTGCCTCCCTGTTCTATGATTGCAGTTGTTATGTCATCTCTTTCTTTTCTTCTTTTTTTTTTGATATTTATTTATATATTTGAAAGGCAGAGTTACAGAGAGGCAGAAGCAGAGAGAGAGAGGGAGGTCTTCCATCCACTGGTTCACTCCCCAGATGACCACAATGGCTGGAATTGTGCTGATCGCAAGCCAGGAGCCAGGAGCTTCTTCCGGATCCCCCACGTGGGTGTAGGGACCCAAGGACTTGGGCCATCTTCTGCTGCTTTCCCAGGCCATAGTAGAGAGCTGGATCGGAAGAGGAGCAGCCAGGACTCGAACTGGCACCCACATGGGATGCCGGCGCTTCAGGCGGCAGCTTTACCCGCTACACCACAGCACAGGCCCCTCTTCCCTTTCTTTCAATGGCATCTTCAAATCTTTGTCCAGAAAGACTTCCACCTTACAGTCAGTGGCCAATTTCAGATCACGGTTACAACAGAATGTCACCTTGGCGGTCCTGAAATGCTGGCATGGGTTTGAAGTGTAGTCCTAGAATTACTTAGATCTAAATCAGCTTTACTAATGGGCCCTTATACCCAGATGTGTGTTAAAGCATGGGCGTGTGCTGCAGTGTAGTAGGTTAAGCCTCCACTGTGGTGCCGGCATCCCCTATGGGCACTGGTTCGAGTCTGGGCTGCTCCACTTCTGATCCAGCTCTCTGCTGTGGCCTGGGAACGCAGTAGCAGATGGCCCAAGTGCTTGGGCCCCTGCACCCACGTGGGAGACCTGGTAGAAGCTCCTGGCTCCTGGCTTTGGAACGGCGCAGCTCCGGCCATTGTGGCCATTTGTGGAGTGAACCAGCAGTTGGAAGACTTCTCTCTGTTTGCCTCTAGAACTCCACCTTTCAAAAATAATAAATGTTATAAAAAAAAGTGTAAAAAAAATCCCTTCACCAAAACCTCTGAGGCCAGCCTCCCAAAATACATTCATATTTCTGGTGCAAAATCATGAATATTTCCTAACTGAAAACTCTGATTAGCCTCATCCAGCCAATTTTTGTGGCTACATATTTAAAGCAAGCTCAAGGAAAAATTCGTTATCTCAAGGGCGTGTGAACTTTTTCCTATCCTGTTGGTGGTTCATGGAGGTCAGCTCTAGTTTCTGGGCTGTGGCCAGGTTGAAGGTAGCTCTGCGGCCTGCGACCGCTGCTGACAGCTCGCTCTCTCGCAGTGCCAGCGGCGGAGTGCACATCGAGCCCCAGTACAGACAGTTTCCCCAGCTGACCAGGTCCCAGGTGATCAGGGGCGAGGTCTTCAGCGCAACCATGTGGTTTTGGATTCTCTGGCGCTTTTGGCATGACTCCGACGCTGTGCTGGTAAGTGGAGGAGAATGGTTGGTGTGCTGTGGGGAGGGGCGGGGCAGAGATCTGGCTTAGCCTCTGTGTCTGTCTGTCTGTCTGTCTGTAAACCTTCCGTCTGGCTGTGTCCTTTCACCCTGTGCTGTCCATGGTGGTTTGGTGAACATGTTGTCTCTGACGTTTCTGTATGAGGATGTACACTGAAGTGGTCTACATCCTACGTTCCTGTTAGGTTGCAGTATTTGGAGGGAGACTAGAAACTAGTAATGCCTTTACCTTCCAAGGTAGAGGTCGATGGTAGGTAAATTTCACACTTGAATTCCTTTACACGGGGAATGTGGGCCGGCAGCTGTGGCCAGGTTGGCTGTGAGTTCACTTGTCTCGAGGAGGGAAGTTCACTGTTGGTGACCGCTTCATTCGCCCCAACCTTGCCTGTGTCCTGTTTATCATGGATTCCGTTTGCTGCAGCATTGCACCACTAGGACACTGAAATTGTTCCTGTGAATTTCAGTCCTTTGCGTTTGCTTCTGGATTGGAGCAGATACTGGATGGGAGCGAAACCCCAGGCTGCTTTCCCATCCCCAGGACTGCCCAGGTGGTCGAGAACCGGTAGCATCCTCACTGTCCGAAACACCTGATTTCACTGTGGCCCAACTGGCAGGAGGATCCGAAGATGGCATTAGAAGACTTTCTTGTGGTACAAAAAATGCGAATTCCATGCGAAGTGTCTTCATAATACGCATTTCATGTACTTTTTAGAGACTCCTCATTACTTGGATTTCAAAAATTTTTGTTATCCAAACAAACTTTTAATTCCACTTTCCATGATTTTTCTTTTTTTAAGATTTCTTTTTTTGAAAGGCAGAGTTATGGAGAGAAAGAGAGAGAGAAGAAGAGAGAGATCTTGGATCTGTTGGTTCACTCCCAAAGTGTGACGGCTAGGGCTGGGCGGGGCTGAAGCCAGGCCCAAAACTCCATCTGTGTCTCTCTTGTGAGTGGCAGGGCCCCAAGCACTTGGGCCGTCTTCTGCTGCCTTTCCAGGCGCATTAGCAGGAAGCTGGATTGGAAGTGGAGCAGCTGGGGCTCGAACTGGCACCCGTATGGGATACTGGCATTGTAGGCAGAGGCGTAACCTGCCGCGCCATCACTCTAGCCCCTAGTTGTCCATGACCTTTTTGAAGTACTCTCGTACAGGGGTGTTAGGTGTGAGATGGTGATGCAGCCAGATGTGTCCGTGGTCAGGGCTAAAGATGCCGCAGTACCCAGAGGCCCCCAGGCCCCACAGCGGGAAGGAGGACGGTCTGAAGCACTGAGCTTTGCCAGGACTCCAAGACATGCCAAGATACGGTGTCGCTGCGGTTGTTGCCTCTTCTCCCGCCCTCCATCCAGACGTACCACTGTCTTGGCTGCTGGCACTTCCGCGGTAGGAAGGCTGTGGGCTCTAGACCGTGGGCCGTGTGCACAGACTGCAGAGCAGCTGGGCTGTCAGGTGAAGCAGAATTGTCCCTGTGGGATGTCAAAGGCCGTGTGTGTGGTGTGCGCTTAGCACAGTGTTTCTTGCAACGTTTCCTTCAAACTTAGTTTACAAAGTGTGCGTGCTGACTTTTCTCCTTTGAAATGGCTGTCACCAGGGGCACTTCCCGTATCCAGACCCCGCCCAGTGGACAGATGAGGAGTTGGGCATCCTTCCTGACGATGAGGACTGATGTGCCCACTCAGCGCTTCCCAGGTGAGCCTGCCCCGCGTTCCCGTGTGCAGAGTCGTTTACTTATTGGAGAGGCTGAGTGAGAGAGAGAGAGAATGTTAGTTTTCCGTCGCTGGTTCACGCCCCAAATGTCGGCAGCAGCAGGGCGGGGCCAGCTGGAGCCGGGAGCGCCCTCCGGGTCTCTGAGGTGAGCGGCCGGGGCCGTCCTCCAGCAGGGAGCTGAGCGCTCAGCGCTGGGCTGCAGGCTCCCCGTGGGAGCACAGCCTGCCATCCTTTGACATCTGCCCCCCGCCCCATTCCCACTGCAGAAGGCGATTGGCTTCTGTGAGACGGGGTGGGAGGGAGGGAGGGAGGGAGGGAGGGAGTCAGCTCATCTGCTGGCTCACTCCCCAGCTGCCTGCAGTGGCAAGGGCTGGGCCAGGCTACAGCCAGGACTGGGAACTTAACCTGGGTGTCCCAGGTGGGCTAGCACCTGCTGGCTCCCAGGGTGCACACGAGCAGGAACTGGACTCAGAGCCAGGCGTTCCAGTGTGGAATGTGAGTGAGTATCCCAAGCAGTTTTTTAACCACTGGGCCAAACACCTTCCCTACTCCCACTTTTTAAGAAGTCCCATTTGTGGCCAGCGCTGTGGCTCACTTGGCTAATCCTCCGCCTGCAGTGCCGGCACCCCGGGTTCTAGTCCCGGTTGGGGTGCCAGATTCTGTCCTGGTTGCTCCTCTTCCAGTCCAGCTCTCTGCTGTGGCCCGGGAGGGCAATGGAGGATGGCCCAGGTGCTTGGACCCTGCACCTGCATGGGAGACTGGGCGGAAGCACCTGGCTCCTGGCTTTGGATCGGTGCAGCCCGCCAGCCGTAGCGGCCATTTGGGGAGTGAACCAATGGAAGGAAGATCTTTCTCTCTCTCTCTCTTTGTCTAACTCTGCCTGTCAAAACAAAACAAAACAAAACAAAAAAGTCCCATTTGCCTTCTTGTCATAAACACGCTTTGACCTTGCTTTTAGGATGGGCTTGAAGAAGCCACATAGAATGAAGCGGAATTAAGCATGTCATGTGTTTAGTTTCTTCTTCAGTATTTTTGCATTTACAGCCCGCTCGTCTCGTCTTCTTATCATTGTCTGTTTACAAGTAATTCTGGGGTGGGCGCTGTGGAACAGCAGGTTAGGCTGCCACTTGGGATGGCTGCTCTTGGTTCCCCTGAGCTTCCTGCTGCTGTGTCCTGGGAGGCAGCAGGTGACGAGTCGTGTGGTTGGGAGACCTGGTGGAGCGCCGGGCTTCTGGCTTTGGCTTGGCCTGGCTGTGCCGTTGCAGCCGTTTGGGGGTGTGAACCAGTGCATGGAAGATCTCTCTCATCCTGCCTCTCCCTCTAACTCTGCCTTTCAAGTAAATAAAATCTTAAAAAAAAGAATGGGATGCTGATGTCGAAGGCTGTGGCTACACCATAACGCCAGCCCCGCAAGCAACTCCGACAGATGTGAAGACCAGGTCTGTGTCACGCCCAGGGTGCAGTGACGAGGCGGCTGACAGTGTGGCTGCAGGACTCGTGTCCTGCCCTCCAGCGGCAGTGTGCTCAGCACTCCTGGATGGATCTTCATCTGCTGGCTCACTGCCCACATGGCCGCCACCGCTGGGGCTGGGCCAGGATGAAGCAGGCGCTCCTTCCGGGGCTCCCACGCGGGTGCAGGAGCCCAAGCACTTGGGCCATCCTCCACTGCCTTCCCAGGCACGGTGGTGGTGGTGGTGGGGGCTGGGTCAGAAGTGGAGCAGTCAGAACTCTAACTGGCGCCCATATGGGACGCTGGCGCGGCAGGTGGCGGCTTGACCCACTGCGCAGTGCCAGGGTCGGAAATTACTTCTGGAAGCGGTGAAGGACTATGGCCCTTTCATTTCCCAGGTCAGGAAGTCAGGAGTTAAATTTCTCAAAAAGGAAGGTTTAGAATTCCCTGTCCCCACACAATCCTCAGGGGTCCAGCATTCTAATTTAACATGTTTTTAAATTAATCTTTGCACTTGATTAATTGGCCATTATTCAAAAATGCCTTGAAAATTCTTATAGGAAAAGAAGCATTAAATGATTATTGTGTTTCTTTTTTTTTTTTTTTTTTTGATAGGCAGAGTGGACAGTGAGAGAGAGAGACAGAGAGAGAAAGGTCTTCCTTTGCCGTTGGTTCACCCTCCAATGGCCGCCGCTGCAGCCGGCGCACCGCGCTGATCCGATGGCAGGAGCCAGGATCCAGGTGCTTTTCCTGGTCTCCCATGGGGTGCAGGGCCCAAGCACCTGGGCCATCCTCCACTGCACTCCCTGGCCACAGCAGAGAGCTGGCCTGGAAGAGGGGCAACCGGGACAGAATCCGGCGCCCCGACCGGGACTAGAACCCGGTGTGCCGGCGCCGCAAGGTGGAGGATTAGCCTATTGAGCCACGGCGCCGGCTGATTATTGTGTTTCTATTAAGTCATGCTATTAGTATCGTAATTTACTGTTAATATTTTTATTTTTATTAGTAATGTTTATTAGTATTATAATTTTTAAAAGATTTATTTATTTGAAGGAGAGGAGAGACGGAGAGAGGTCCTCTGTCCACTGGCTCACTCCCCAAATGGCCATAACAGCTGGGGCTGGGCCAGGCTGAAGCCAGGAGCCTGGATCGTCTTCCAGGTCTCCTAGGGGAGTGAGGGGCCCAAGCACTTGGGCCATCTTCTGCTTTCCCAGGCCGTAGCAGGGAGCTGGATCAGAAGCGGGAACACCAGGACCCTGCTGGGCCCACACTGGATGCCAGCATTGCAGGCAGTGGCTAACCCGCTGGTGCTGGCCCCTGTCGTGATCATTTTAATTAGAAGGCAGCTCATTGGCCTGAAATACCGGTAATTGGCTTGGGTCTCTGAGGGGGGAAAGGGGAGGTGGAGCTAAGTCACCACGGGGCAGGTGGCTACGCTGCTTTTCTTACTTATCTCCAGCTTGGCTTAGGTGCCGCCCGGAGTCCTAGTCCTTCCCGGGCCTCCTCCTCCGGCTGTTGAGTCTGCAGCAGGCGGCCCGGCGTCCGCACATAGGCGCTGGCGTTCTGTGTCGCTGACCGAACTGGGAGCCCTTCAGGGTGGGCTGCGCTGGCGGGCTCCTCACCTGATCCCTGGATCAGACTGATGGATGGGAGTGAGTGAGAACATGCTCAACGCTGCCTCTTCGTGTTCCCACAGGAGCCGGTGAGAGCCGCAGGAAGCATGGACTTCATGTCGCACATTAAGTTGTAAATTAAAGCGTTTGCTCACACAGGAGGAACTGAGTTGTGACTGTTTCTGATGGTGCGGCTGCCCTGTGCGTTGTGTGCTGTGCTCGGTGGTGTCGAGCCTCCAGCTGCCCTGTAGGGACCCCGGCACGTAGACAGGTGTGTGCTGCCTGTATCGGTGAGGACATCGAGGGGCAAGGAGACGCAGGTGCTTGCTTCGGAACTGGTGAGGTTGGGTCGACTCCAGCGCCCACACAGAAGGAACTACAGGGCCATCCTGCTGCGTGCGTCGTCGGGACGTTGGCAGATGGGGGCACTCTTGCCCCGAGAGGGGAGAGTCCAGTGCAGTCCGTTCATTATCTCCTGTGGGCTGGGCACTGTTGAGTGGCCACTCATGGAACTCAAATCTCACTCCTACCTAGGAATTATCATTGCCAAAGGAATGGGCGACAAGAGTGAAATAGGACTTTTCAGTCTTTCCAAAATTTGTTCCGAAGCCCTGGCCCTACTCTGCAGCATCACAGTTCTGAGCGGCAGAGAGAATTTTCCACTGTCCGCGGATCGTCTCTGGTGGAAGTTAACTGGGGGACCTGGCCAGACGCATTCCTCATTCTGACTTGGGTTTTGACCGCCCAGGTACTGGAGACACAGTACAGAAGTGACTGTGAGGTTCTCTTCTCTGATTTTCAGAGCAGGCACCGAGCGAGGGTGATGAGCGCGGGAAGGGAGTCTCGCGGGCGAGGCGGGTGTGGCGCGTGTGGGCTGCAGCTTGGGCGGGGCTGAGGGAAGAGCTCTGGAGACGAGGGGCAGCGCTGAGGCAGAGCGGAGCTGGTGGCAGGGCGGGCTGGGCAGCGGGCAGAGCGCCTTCTGGAGCTGCCTGCTGGCGGGTGCAGCGCCCACCCGGGGCCTGGCGCCAGCCTCCCGCGTCTGCCCGTTTCATGGCGCCTGGGGCTCAGGCCCAGCGGTGAGCGATCGGTTCTAGCAGAGGTTGCTGTGTATGAAACACAGGCGCAGAGTGGCTTCAGCGGGTGAGGGGTGGGCTCTGACGTTGGGGTCCGGCGCAGCTTTAGGTTGAGTTTAGGCTTTAGACGAGGCTGTGCCCCGTGGGAGCCTGGTTTTTGGGTCTGCAGTCGGCTTTTCATTCTGTTCAGGTGTCAGAATGGGCCCCACGGCAGCAAAGGCTGAAGCAAGTGTGACCCCCCCCCCCCCCCCGCAGTCCTGTGTCTGTCTCAGGACGCTGGAGACACCCCCGGGTTTTGTATTTATTCACCTAAGGATGAGCCGGCAGCCCACAGAGATACTGTAAAAAGACCCTTTAGAACTTGGTACATTTAAAAAAATATTTATTTATTTGAAAGGCATAGCTGTAGAGAGAGAGGGAGAAAGTGATCTTCCATCCACTGGTTCACTTTCCAGATGTTTGCAACAGCAGTGGCTGGGCTGGGCCAGGCCAGCGGCAAGAGCCAGGAGCTTCATGTGGGTCCCACGTGGGAGAAGCGGCCCAAGCCCACGCGCCGTCTTCAGCTGCTTTCCCAGGTGCATTAGAAGGGAGCCGGACTGGAAGAGGAGCAGCCAGGACTCGAACCAGCGCCCGTGTGGGATGCCAGCACTGCAGGCAGTGGCTTTACCTGCTATACCACAGCACGGGCCCCAGTGAAGTTTTTGGAAAGAATACAGTCTGTGACTGAACTCAACCAGGAGAACTGGCTCTTTCTCTTGAATCAGTTTAAAAAATAGCATTCTCTTGAAAGAGTGAATCATTTTTTCCAGGCTTGGGCCATGAAACCATTGTGAACTGATGTAGACTATTGTTCCCAGCCTATATTGGGCACAATATAGGGAAAATACTTCAGTGGGAGAGGGGTTTCAAAGAGATGTATTCAAAGAGCTGTTAGGTCCATTTGACTGATGGTGGTGGATGTGTGTAGTTGAAGGAGGCAACAGCAGAAACGTACTCGGGGCCATGTCAGCACTTGATGTGTGTGGATTCATGTTTCTCACATTATTTCTCTTTTTTAGACAGAAGTTGAGGAATGGATGGGTTAGGCGATTTGCCAAGCTCACGCTGGTGAAGTAGGAAAGCTGAGTTTTATCCAAATCCAAGAGAAATCAGGTTATCTGAGAGCGTAGCATAGTGTAAATGTCGGTCACAGTCCCTTAGAGTTAATTTTAGGTGAATTTGCACATACACACACACACGCGCGTGCGTATGTTTAACCAAACCAAGGTTTGTCAAACAGTACTTACTTATGGTGCACACTGAGAATTTTGTTTTATTCGGTTTTGTATCCTTAAGAGAACAGCCACTTAGTATCTCCTACTTTACTCCCCACTGCCCGAGTCCAGCTTGCTGGATCTGACACCTGGCTCTGCTCCTTACTAGGCCTGAGAGTTTGGGCAAATTATTTAAGTTCTCCTGTATCTGTTTCCTCATTTGTAAGGTGGATTAAACAGATGAAAAGAACTAACATGCAAAGCTTCTAAAGCTGTGCCTGCTGGAAGGAAAGACTACGTGGAAGCAGCTGTCATTTCTAGGCCATTAGGTGTAGCCGAGGTTCCTGATGGCCCCGGAGTATCCGCCTGATCTTTCTAGCAGAGCCCCCGTGTGCAGAAGACTACACAGAGCCACTCCTCGCTTTGCCACAAAGCAAGCCGACACACACACCACTGGCCGCGTGTTGCCCTCCTCCCCGTGTGAGCTGGCGTGGAGGAGATTCAGGGTGTGGCTGGAGGGAGATGTGCGCTTGCCAGTGGAAAGGTAGCTGGGGCGGGCTTCGTGATGGCAACAGAGGACGCCCTGTCAGTCTTCAGCACATTCACAGCTTTGCTCGTTCTCTCCCGATCCTTTAATGGGAGTAACGTAAGTGTGCCCTCGAGGCACTGTGTTAGGAACACCTCTTCTCTGCCTGGTGTTAAGACGGACGCCATCTTGGCCCTAGAACTGTTCTGTAGAGGCCTGTTGTCTGCGGCTGCCCTCACGTCGGGAGCAGTCGTGAGCCCAGCGTGCGTTGTCATGGACATGGGAGCTGCCCACGCCAGTGCATGTGTGTGCTCAGCTGGACCTTGGCCTTCTGTCCCAGCTACTAGGGGCGGCTTACCTGATTAGTGAAGGGGTGACCAAGCACAACTTCCATGTCTGTCCAAATTCCCACAGCCTTCATGACTGCAACAAAATGACACGTATGAGAATGACAAGACATTTGTGGGAAAACGGAATTAAAAGAGTTTACTGGGGCTGGTGCTGTGGCACAGTGGGTTAAGCTACCATCGACAGTGCCAGCATCCCATCTAGGCACCCTTTTGAGTCCCATTCCCTGATAATGGCCTGGGAAAGCAGTGGAAGATGGCCCAAGTCCTTGTCCCCCTGCACTCAAGTGGGAGACCTGGAAGCAGCTCTTGGTTCCTGGCTGTGGCCTGGCCCATCTCTGGCCGTTGCGGCCATTTGGGGAGTGACCCAGTGGATGGGAGAGCTCTCTCTGTGTTAACTCTTGCAGAGCTGGGACTCTGATAGGGAGTGCAGATACCCCAGACGCCCAGCTGTCCCCCCTGCACACGGGCCTTGTCTGGACTTGAGAGAGGGATGGAACGCACGGCGCTGTCTCATGTCTGGCTACACAGGCCTAGGCAGTCCCGTCCCATCTTTCAGGGCCTCTGCTCTAAGGTCTGAGTGGGAGAACTATAGATCCAGACAGTAGATCCAATGGTTACAGACCTGGGTAAAAGTATCTAAAGGTCTTTATCATAGAACTTCACAGCTAAAGCGCCCGTAATTCCAGGCTCGGTTTTAAGGGAAGCCAGTGCATCTCTTAGTCAGGCCATGGTCACTCAGCTTTGGCTGTGTGTAAAGTCCCTTGGGAAGTGGATTTCCTGAATGTTTATTAGTCGTTCCGCACGCACACCTAGGTGCTGACGGTGGCGTCTGGCGGCAGGGCAGGAGGCCGAGGCCAGGCTCTGGGGACTTCCCGATCCTTGACTGCTCAGGCTCGGCGTTTGCAGGGGAAGTTTTCAGACTGCTCACTTCTTTCCTGGAAACCTCGCCCAGTCACTGATAGACATGGTCAAGGAGTTTCTCCAAACATTAATTAGCTAAACCACATGCACGAAACTCACTGGGGTAACCACCATAAAAAAAAAAAAAATTAGAGGACCTAGTGCATTCTTACTTTCCAACAGACGGGGGTGTGTGCGTTTTATGTTCCTAGAGAGATTGCACTGGTGTTAGGAAGTCTGAAGGTCAAGTTTCACAGATGAACTCTAGAAATGACTGAACTAGGTAGGGTTCCCACTGCCACCTGTGCAGGGACGCCGAGGACAGTGGTCACGACGCTGAAATGCTGGAGGGTCCCTGCAACACGGCCCAGTCGGGCAGCACGTGTGTCCATGAGCACCAGCCGGGATACGGACAGCTGAGCTTCTTGCCCCGATGAAACAAGACGCACACTCTCAGTCCTTCCAGATTGCTCTGTTTCTGACCTGAACAGCGCTAGAAAAACCACCTTGATGAGCCGTGTCCATGCAGTCAGTCTTTATTATAGCAGGTTCGCATATTCACATCAAGTACATAGAACTTTTTTGCCTTTTATATAATACAGAGTTTTTAAATAACTTTACACAGAAATAAATGTCTTCAATCTGATTTCAGCTATCTTTATTTAATTCTCCATGCTTTCTATCCAAACTGAACAATATTTTCCATTGTACAAATTTACATGAGAAAAACTCCAAAGTACAAATGAAGGGACCTGAGCAGGAAAGAGAACCAAAGGATCAAGAAGTGGGTGTGGGGAAGAATTTTTAAAAAAAGGCAAAGGTTCAAGCAAACATTGAGGATTAAGGGACAAGAAGGAGACATTATCCATTTGACTGAAAATAAATGTCTTTTTTATGAATTGAAAAATAAGCTTTAAAAATAGTTACTCCATTGTAATTTTTGCAAAGCAGGTATAAGAGAGGTCTGTGGACAAGTAAAAAGTCCCCACCCTGTCACTGGGCACACCTCGGACTGCAGGAGAACCCGTGCAGTGTCTGCGTGGAACTGACCGGAACAGAACCTGAACCTTTGGCAGTAAGGAGAGGAATGTGAGAGTGGCGGGCTGCAGGGCGCGGGGCGGGAGCTCCCAGCACCGCACACAGGAAGCAGTTCCCTTCTCTCCCTGGCAGGAGACGCGTCCTCAATCCACGTACACGAAACGGGAGGACGTTTCCTCTTTCTTGGTCTAAACCAAACCACAGAGCAAGCACAACTACGGAGCAGAGTTCAGAGACAGACGCTGCCGTGGGAAGGGCCACCCCCGTCAGTCGCACGTCCTACCCTAGGAGCAGTCGCCGCTGAGGGAAGCAGATGCACACCCAGGCGTGGAGCCACCACCGATGCCGTCACTGACATGGAGGAGGCCCGCGAGGCCGCCGTGGGCATGGCAGGGGGCCCAGTGAGCGCGTTTTCAAATGAAGGCAGGAGAAGGGCACCGTGCGTGTGTGCACACACACACCCTCACACACACACCCGTGTATGTAAACTAACCACATGAAGAGAAATAAGACAGGAAGGTGTCACTTAGGTTGGTGATCAACAGGAATAAGAAGGCGTGTGCTCGCACAGCTGGTGTGAATCAGCTATGGAACATACACAGATGCTGCTGGAAGGGATGATTTCTTTTTTTAAAACCGTTCACAGCTTAGAATGAAAAGCACACTTATTGCACTCTTACATTTTAGGTAATTGTAGAGAACCCCCCCCCCCATTGGTTTTGCCCTATCCTCAGACTCACTCCCGCCCCTCCCGTCGTGGTCCACGTTCTCTGCATTTGTGCCTAGTCTCTCTGCTGCTGATGCTAGTCTGCCATTTCCTGTGCAACTCACACAAAAGGCTGAACACACAAATGCAACAGTAACTTGCAAAACCAAAGAGGGACTGAGCAGTTTAGCCCACTCCCATTCCCAGCCCCGTGAGCAGCCTCTTCAGCTGCCGGCTGCCCAGCACGGGGCCGCAGGTGAGCGCTCAGCCTGCTGGGCAAAGCAGAGGGTTTGTACACACAGACTTTCTCACATGAACACGAATAAACATTTCCGTTCTGTTTTCAGAGTATTTCAATCTACAGAATTCCTGTAAGAAATGCACCACAAAAAGGATACACTGGCTGTGTCCTCATGCAGAACTAGTTGTACTCGGAATAGCTAAATAAAGTAAACACTAATGAAACTGATCTAATAATGTAACTAAATGTCAGGGTGAGGCTGTGCACACTGACCTAAGGAACCTACTCACTTTACCAGGTTGCAAGTGCTGCTATGGTGTTTCTTAAAGCATTGGTAACAGTTCCTTAGCAGCCTTGGTAGGAACAGTGAATCCCCCCTTCCACAATTAGGAACAAAATGAAGATAAAGAAGATGTAACAGAAATTAGGATTCAACTCCCACCTGTCTCTGCCCAAGAGAATGAAAATAGGTGATCTGAAAACAGCAGCAGCAAGCGGTCTACTGTGCTGACCTAAGGATCCTAGGATGACTGTTTCCCCAGAGCTGGCAGCGTGGACCATGCGACACTGGCTGCGTCACTCTGCTCTGGCTAACCTACAGGCCCTCACCTCTGACCTCTGGGCGCAGAGCTGCGACTGCCCTCAGCCGGGGCTCATTCCGCTCCCTCGGGCATCAGCAGTATCTCAGGAAGACACTGCAGGATGCTGGAGACCACAGGCTGACGTTCATGAGGGATGAAACAAGACACCAGAAGCACACCGTGGAGCATGGCCAGTTTTACCCTGGCCAGCCAGGTCGCTCTCAGTTCCAGACTCAGTGCACCAGGGCAGGCGCGTAGCACAGTCCAGCCTCACTAGCAGACGAGTCCTGGGAGGCAAGTTCCCATTTCAGACCTTGAAAATCAGTGTCTAGGTTGGCAGCAGTGCTCTGGAAACTGATCCCATCAAATGCTGTCCTGTGATTTAATTTCTCCCTTTTCACTAATTTAACACACAATTGCTGCCCAGCATGCAATACTTCAACCCTAAACTAGAGCAGTTTCTTAAAACGTCTCTCAAACGTTTGTTATATAAAAGGCCCATGCTTTCAAGAACCTATGGGAATACAAAAGTTTCTCTAGAAAGTCACAGAACTATAATTTCAACTTAGTTGCTCTATGTGATAAATATTTCTATTATGTACTTTAAAAAAATAATTTTATTCACTGAAAATTTACCTGTGTGTCCTCATTTTTTAAATGTGGTTTTGGCTATAAACTCTTCAGTGCATTTATCTTTGCAGTCTAAATTGCACGCTTAAAAAAATACTAACACAGCTGAGTTAAACCAGAGTGGCTGCTCTCTTCATGTATCACTGATTTCTGCTAAGAGTTTAGCTTTGTTATTGCATCATGAAGGCACAGTAAGATCATTTGGCAAATTCTCAAGGTATCCTAGAGCCTTCCACCATGTCTATGTAAGACTGCGGAACTATCTGCTGCTCAGACTCCGTCAACCTTCCCTCTCTGGCTTCCGTCTGCCTGCAGCCTGGTGACTGGCACCTGCGTCTCCAGGCGCTGCTGTTCCGGCGCTCACATTGCCAGCTGGGATAGAGAAGGGGAGCCATTGCACCCTCTGAGCTGGGCGGTCTCTGAGCGCTGTGGCTAGCTCAGGAAGCTGTGCTGTCATGCCAAACCTACTGGGAATTAAAAGCTGGCTCACCTTAGCGAAGTGATACCCTAACAACTTCGGTTCATGCAGAAGATTACGGTTAGCACTCTGAGGCTACCCCTAAGCAGGTGCCGGCACCACTTTCAGCAGCACTCGGACACAGCATCTCTGCGTCAATGTACAATGCCCTTAGGACAGAATGGGAGTGCTCAAGATGCAAGTGCGCACGGAGGTCACCATCTCCAGTCTCCCCCGTCCTCAGCTCCTGCTCCTCGCCTTTCAAGATACAGAGCTATCATAGCCTCATCCGAAGGAGCTAGTTTCTCAAGAGGTCGTCTGAACCCTGCGACGTGTTTCACCCTGGAGCTGGACGGCGAGGGGCGAGGGGCGAGGGGCGAGGGGCGAGGGGCTGGCCGGGCCGGCGAGAGAGGCGGCGGTTGTGCAGCATCTCCGGCAGGGCCCGACCAGCGCCGAGCAACACGGTGCGCACACGAGCCGGTGCGCCCCGAGGACGCCTCCGCACGCAGGTCTTGCCCCATTTGACATCGCGCGCTCTGTTCTCCGACGCAGTTAGTTACCACGCATGGGGCTTACACGGGGCATCGGCTTCAGGACGCCCCCGAGTCCTTCCAGATCTCATACCAGGGATGGCACGTTCAGGAACCAGAACTGATGGCTAGACAGAATCTTCCTTTAGCGTGTACCTATGTACAATGATCACATCGGATTTTTAAGTCCACAAGTCCTATAAACTACTTTTGAGGGGCAATATTATTTCAGTGGCAAAGGACTAGGTTAGAAGCATTCCTTTAGAGCTCCTCTCACCCTATCACAAGTCGGATTCCCTAGAGAAGGCTCGGCAGCCACTTGCAGAAACGGGAGTAACAGTTACCGCGCTACAAGACGACGGGTGGAGTTACCGCCCTACAAGACGATCGGAGCAGCAGCCACAGTCTACACAAACGACTCATAAAGTGCTTCGCACACATGAGGACTTCTTCCTCGTGTTTTCTTAGGAGCTCAGCAAGTCTGTCTGTAGTTTAAGCATCAAAAAAATAAAGCAAATCTAACTCAAAAGAGACCCCTTTTCATGTCACTTAAATAAAAAGTAAAGAAAAAAACTATTTGATGGAAAAACGGGAAAACCTCTCAATCCCTGAGCCAGGCTTCCGGGCACAGCTTCATTTGATGTCAAGTCTCCTCCCTCATTCAGATGATAGCACCCACTCGGAAATGAAAGGGAAGAAAACAGCATCTCACCCTACTCTTGTCTAGAAAATGCAACGCAAAGCTTCCTCCTCAGCTGAGTTCTAAGTTCTGAGCCAACCTTGGCCAAGGGAACACAGCCACGTCTAAAAGCATCCACACAGACACATTTAACAAAGCATGCCCAGCGCCTTTCAGAGGCCGCAATGCGTGCGGAGGTCCACGGTCACTCCAGCTTCGCAGTTTGTGAATTCTGTAAGACACTGCTCTGCTCACGTAAGACTTAAACACACACCGCTTTTCCAAAAAGGTTAACAAGTTTCCAAGTTCCGTGAACAACCTTTCTCAAGTCCATGAAATTCTGAGTGACCTTCTACCCAACACAGGTATGTTAGCAAAATCACTTACTGGGAGCGAGGAGGCTGCAATACGACAGCTGGACCAGGAGTTACGGTCTGCAACCACGAAACAGCATCTCTCTGTCCCGGTGCAGGTTCTTGGCTGCCGCTTAGCTGGGCCAGCTCCATCTGCTAACTCCTGTAAGAGACCCTAGACTCCTGAGACAGGAGGTATCTGTCCCTCAAGTAGCCACAGTCACTTTCTTTGCTACTACTCAGATTTATACTACCCTTCAATAAAGGTCAAGGGAAGCTATAGATAGATCATACATTTTCTTCATTTGTGCAAAGTTTAGAAAAATTAGGTTCTTAATACCACATGAGCTTTTTCTGTAAAAGCAACTGATGAGGCTCCACATACTCTCCCTTGGTGCCAATATTCTCAAATTTGCTGGTCTCTGCCTGTGGAACTCAGGTGCCTAATTACCCAACCTTTTGAAGACCAGGCTTGGGAAAAACAGGAGGAGAATGAATGGAGACACCACCATTTTTATTTTAGATTGCATATTCTAGAAAAAAAAAAAAAGACTAGGAAAGAAGATGTAGGATGTAGTGTAGGAATAAGTTGGAAGAAACAATGAGATTATTAGCAAAGATATTAGTGTGGATCCAGCAAGTATCATTAATTTAAAAATTATAAATATTTGTCATTATGCTAAGACTCCCCATACTTAGAGAAAAGGATAATGATCTTTCTTTAAATGTTGTTTATATAACAAAAATACAATTTTCAGCACATTACAATTCTCATGGGAAGTGTTTTTATTCCAATTCAATTAAATTTGAGATTTTCTTTTTAATAAAAATAGAAGAAACTCAGAAATTAAAACCTGTATCTTACATTTAAATTACACAAATTTATCACATTCAAAACTGTTATTAAGCAGTTTTGCAGGCTTTTAAATTAGTTATTGCCCCTGGCATTTTATGCTCTGGACAAGGTAGCCACGTAAGTACTTGGTGACTGGAAGAGCGCAGGAGAAGACACAAACTGAATTGTCCTGAGAATCTGCTACGTCGTGCAGGAGAAACGTCCCCCGCCACCTGCATTGCTGGACCCACTGAGAGCACGCGCCCTGCAGCCTGCGTGGTTAGGCGGCCCCTCCGTGAGGTCAGGGAGAAGATGCAGCATCCCATTTCCCTCTGCCCAGACCCCCGCTCCTGGTCACCTCCCCCCTGGCTCCCCCTGCCACCCCCAGGACTGGACGCGCCCCACACAGGACCGGCATGCTGCACTTCTGTTCCGTCCCTCAGCAGTGAACCGGGACAGCTCGGGGAGGAGCTCCACAGCAAGCTCCCAGAGCAGGCAAGAGGATGCCGCGTGGTGACGGAACTGCCCTGCCAGAGGCTCGGCCGCGCGTCCACCCGGCGGTCACAGGCAAGTGGGCCGGCAGGTCTTCCCAGTCTCCCAAGCTGCAGCAGCACCTTCCATCAGCCTGACTGTCAAAAGGCCAGGGCTCGGGGTCCTCCTCTTCGTCTGGGAGTGGGCACGTGGTATTTGTGTTGAAGAAACACTGGCAGCAGAGGTGTCTGGATCCTAAAACATTCTTCCCTCTTTTCTTGAATAGGAAACTCCACTCTGTTCCACACAGCTTATGCATTGGAAATCTGATATCTTTAAAAAAGGATTTGAGGAACAGAACTGTGTTTTGATGTTAACAAATTTTACGAACACAAGACTTAAGAATTAAGAGTAGATGCTGCCATGATGGTGTGGCTACTTGAAGGCTGCAAATTCTCCTGTAGAGGGAGGACAAAAGCTAATTTTAAAAAAGTTATCTCAACCTAGAGACACAGAAAAGCCTCATCCGAACCTTACTGAAAGACAACTAGTTACGTATCACAAACCCAGCTACACTCCACTGGCTGCGAAGCAAGACCGGCTTATGCTCATGGAAGAACCCAGGTGTGTGGAAGCAGTATGCACAATACCGCTCAGCAGCACCAACTACTCTCTGAGATAATCTCCCGGCTGGGTCTTGCGTGGAAAATGACTCAAAATAGTAACGTCTAGCCGCACAATATTTTGCCCTCATAATTACTCATTCATTTTCATCTAGCATATTACATTATTATAATGCCACTCGTCAGGAAGAGAGAAGTCGGAATCAACCTCATTTTGCTAGATAAAATTAACATGTCAAATGATTTGTCTGCCACCAAAAAAAATTAGCCACTTAGCAGAACTCTCAGTACAAGGCGTTCCTTAATCGCAGAAGTCCCTCTGAGGTGGCATACTGCACGGGCTTACTGATCTGGGGACTGCGTGACATTATGTTCCACCTCCCATTTGTGCACAGCTTCCACTCGGAACTGAAGGCCAGCTCCAGTCATGAGAGACTCAGTTAGTTTCTGGGAGCTGGTCAGTAACTAAGTACCAGAATCTGGTCAGCCATAACATCATTTTTTTTCTTTCTTATTCAGTGATAGTTTATTGGTCCTTAGCATTACACCCCAACTGCCAAGGTAAATTCATATACACAACTGCAGGCAGAAACGTGCAAGGTGCTATGCAAGTACACGGAAGGCTACTTTCACACATTTAACTTGCTCTCTGAACAGCAGCTTCTGCAAGGCTAAGCAGTCACTTATGTGCACACACTGTTTACCTGAGGAGTAACTTACCCGGTTTCTGACTGCTATTAGATTCTACCTGGTTGCTTGAAAATGTTGGAATGTCCCAATAAACCACAGATCACTAGTGACTGGCTGATGGGACCCTCCGATGTGCAAGCTGGTAACGTGAGAACCGAGTGCCTGCTCTGTGCCAGGCGCCTCACTGCAGTTTATACAAACTAGCAACTGATTCTCCTAGTGATCCTAATGAGGCAGAGACCAGGACTTCTCTTAGTTCACAGATGAGCAGGCTGAGGTTCAGAACAGCAAGGAACCTGCCCACTTAACACAGCTGGAAAACCGCAGAGGCAGAGGCAGACCAGGTGCCGGCTCTACCCAGGTTCTGACAGCTGACAGCCTCTCAGCAATCTTCAGTGATTAGTATTTGTTTACCACTGTAAATACAACTACATATTGGAATGAAGATACTCTCTCCATCCAAGGAGTCCTTTAAACAATTAGCCAAGGTATTTTGAAACAAAATACCAGGAAGAATAAAAGAATCACTACTTTACTCTTACAGTTAAAAGGATTGGGGAGTCTGGCACTGATTATTTAAAAAAAAAATTATTAGGACCTTGGAAAGTAGTACATTTAGACTACACCCTCCGGAAGCTTCTTGGCAAACAGACTCGAGAAATGCACACTCCCCCCACTGCTGATGCTGAGTCGTCATGATGCTAAGATTGCTACCTCAGCGATTTAACACATTCCTCTGGACTGGTTTGCTATTCTTATGAATAATCACTGCATCTACTTAGAATCCAAATCCCACAGAAGGAAGACAGTGTTAAATAACATCTGCATATTAGGAATATTTATAAAAATATTATATAATCTATTAAGTGAGTACTGTATTAATGGAAAATAAAACCTAAGCCAAATTTTATATATACTAAAAATATTTAGGCCTTCAGACAATACTTCCTATTCATTATAACTACACATTCTATTATGTTGAAGAGTGTTCTTAGAATATAAGCCTTAAAAATAAAAACAAACGGCCGGCGCCGCGGCTCAACAGGCTAATCCTTACCGCCTTGCGGCGCCGGCACACAGGGTTCTAGTCCCGGTAGGGGCACCGGATTCTGTCCTGGTTGCCCCTCTTCCAGGCCAGCTCTCTGCTGTGGCCAGGGAGTGCAGTGGAGGATGGCCCAAGTGCTTGGGCCCTGCACCCCATGGGAGACCAGGAGAAGCACCTGGCTCCTGGCTTCGGATCAGCATGGTGCGCCGGCTGCGGCGGCCATTGGAGGGTGAACCAACGGCAAAGGAAGACCTTTCTCTCTGTCTCTCTCTCTCACTGTCCACTCTGCCTGTCAGAAAAAAAAATTTAAAAAAAATTAGAAAAAAAAAAGAAGAAAATCTTAACAAACTCCAAATCAAAGCAGACACTAAAGGTCAATCTACTAAAAGTCTTCTGCTTCTAATGGAATCAAATCTTTTCATAACCGACTTTGAGTTCAAGAAAAAAATAAGAAGAGACTAAGAATCGATCAAGTAGAACTCTTTCTGTAGGTGTCTCCCCAATCAGAGAGAATATAAATGAAAAGATGTGGATAACAAGCGACAGATCTGCTTTTGGGAAAAAAAAAAATCTCCTTGTTTTTTTCTGGCTTATCTGTAAATCTAATTTTCCTATTCCACCTACAATTCATTATTTGAAAAGGCGAATCTCCATGTGTGAAGTTACTTGATATGAAATACCTACATCTTGTGACATTTTGAAAATCTCACTATTAATTTGCTAACAGAAAATTTAACTAGAGTCCAATATGAAATATTTTCTCCCTCTCTTTTCAGGCTGAGGAAAACCTAAGGTCTCTCTTCCATCTGACTTTATTCATGAAAAGGCAGAGAACGTTTGGGAGGACTTTAAAGAATGAGACCTTGTGATTTGGACTCCTGAAATGCTATAGTTTTTTTTTTTTTTAAGCTAAAGACATTAACTAGTTTAAAACCTTACCAATTACCCTCTAATCCAGAATAAAATGTATTTTAATGGCCATTAAGTATAAATAATTTGATACAATTTTTAGATAAGATATGCTATGAAAAATCTAAAAGGTTATTTCTTACGCAAATAAAACAGGTTGTAGAAATGCTTACTAATGCAGCAAACTCTCGATCAAATAGGACTATAATTGATAAAAGGTTTTAGTCATGAAATACCTATTTCAGAATTTTTTAAAGGATCATTTCCTTCAGTTGAAAGTGATTCAGTTGAGGGAAACAGTTATTTACCCCGGGGTGTCAAACAGCTAACATCGCAGAGGCTGTTTTCATTACTGGTTCAGGATTTCAACCACCAGTACGACATTTTAATACCTGGAAATAAATGCGCCTGAGACACTGAGTGAGTCCGTGATCCCTAACTAACAGAGGACAAGTCTCACTTCCTATCAATGACTAGCCAGACTTTTAAAACATAAGGCAGTTTGTAAAAAGGTTGCTTCCTGAAGGAAATACATAATAATAAAAAGAGGGCTCAGGCTCTAGGAAAGCAGCAGTGAGTCACAAAACAAGTGTTCATTTCAATTACCTCATCAAAGAGATTATCTCTACATATGGTCATGAAAATTTGGTTTTCTTTATTTGGAGAGTATATTTAAAATCAGTATAGAACAAAAAACGTAACAAATGACAACAAGGACGCTGACCAAAAGGGAAGCTGATTTAATCTCAATGCTTCCTGTTTCTCCAGACACATGTTTACCTAAACAGCTCACCTGCCATATTTTTCCTGTTCTCCCACTAACATTTCCAGTGGGGCCATTTTGGAAGGGAGAAGAGAATTACCATGCGACCCTGGAGGCACAGTGTGTGTCTATGGGGCGGCAGAGAGTCTCTGGGCAGCTCCACACCATGCGACCCCTGGAGGCACAGTGTGTGTCTATGGGGTGGCACAGTCTCTGGGCGGCTCCACACCATGCGACCCTGGAGGCACAGTGTGTGTCTATGGGGTGGCACAGTCTCTGGGCGGCTCCACACCATGTGACGCCTGGAGGCACAGTGTGTGTCTATGGGGTGGCACAGTCTCTGGGCGGCTCCACACCATGCGACCCCTGGAGGCACAGTGTGTGTCTATGGGGCGGCACAGTCTCTGGGCAGCTCCACACCATGCGACCCCTGGAGGCACAGTGTGTGTCTATGGGGCGGCAGAGAGTCTCTGGGCAGCTCCACACCATGTGACCCCTGGAGGCACAGTGTGTGTCTATGGGGTGGCACAGTCTCTGGGCAGCTGCAAGAGCTCAGGAATGCCCCCTGGGAAAGGCAGAGAGGAACAGAGGGAGATGCAGACGGCAGGACTGGGAAGGGTGATGCTGGGAGCGAATGATGGAAGATCACAGGCAGGCAGGTGTGTACTGGGGCCACAGGAAGAGCTCCGTCTACAACAGTCCCGCCACCCTGTGCTTCAGAATGCCAAACCCCCTTTGAACACTGCACAGACAAAGTCAATGTTGTGAAGACTTTGTCAGCTACATGCTTATTTGTGAATAAATAAAATCCCTCTAATAACTTAAATGTGTCTTCAACGTCACTGGAGGGTTTTGAGATCATGCACCTTGATGTCTTCCAGTATGTGATTCCGACAGCCCTTTCTTATTCTCGTTTTTCAAATGATGAGAAATGTCCTTTTTCATTATTTTACCTAAATTCAAAGTCATGAATCAATCTGTAAAATCATGGTGGCATTACTTACCTTGAGCCACCAACTGAAAAGGTGTATCATGATTATTAACAAGTGGTTTTTCTGGATGAAATTTAAGCAAATAAAGGAAGTGTTTCAGCATTCTGTTTATAAAATCTCCCCAAATGTCTTCTTTATTAACTTCAAAGCATGGCATTTATGCAGATATTGTCTGTCTGCTGGAAAAACCGTGAATGGTCAGCTGTATTTAAGTCATCCTCAATCCACAGTGAGTGAATGAAGATGTAGTTAACAGGGCAGCTCTGGGTCCTGGACAGACTAGGAAGCAGGGACAGCAAACTGCTTTCCTGCTGCTTCAGAACACACTGACTGACACCTTTTAGTCTTTTTTTAAAAAACAAAACAAAACAAAAACAAGAAAGTGTAGGCATTAGAAAGCATTAACCGGCCGGTGCCGCAGCTCACTTGGCTAATCCCCCACCTGCAGTGCCGGCACACCGGGTTCTAGTCCCGGTTGCTCCTCTTCCAGTCCAGCTCTCTGCTGTGGCCCGGGAGGGCAGTGGAGGATGGCTCACGTGCTTGGGCCCTGCACCCGCATGGGAGACCAGGAGGAAGCACCTGGCTCCTGGCTTCAGATCGGCACACTGCACCGGCCGTGGCAGCCATTTTGGGGGTGAACCAACAGAAAAAGGAAGACCTTTCTCTCTGTTTCTCTCTTTCACTGTCTAACTCTGCCTGTCAAAATAATAATAATAATAAGTAAAAGAAAGAAAGAAAGAAAGAAAGAAAGAAAGAAAGAAAGAAAGAAAGAAAGAAAGAAAGAAAGAGAGAGAAAGAAAGAAAGAAGCATGAACCAACACTTTACACCATGGAATAATAACACAACAAAAGAACTGTATTCACTCATCATAAGTAGTCTTGCTGGGAAAGATTATAAAGGGGACAGAAATCTTGTGAGACACCACGATATGGTGATTGCTAAAATGTGTCCCGTGAGAAGTAAGTAACAGCTTACAGTCACCCAGAGGAAAACAACCCTAACAGTTTTCACAGAATTCTGTGAAGATTGGGGTGGGAGAATGTGGGAGAGAGATCAGAGGGCTCTTTTGTTTGTGAGATATCCTTACTATATAAAGAAACACTATCTAAAAGAACTCTGCTTTATAACATTTTTCGCATTAAAAACCCAAAGGCAAACCACTTTACTCATGTCCAACATGCCACTTCTCAGTAACATCTCTGGTCATTTGCACCCTCAATTTATAAAAAGAAATTTAGTCTCTCACTTCATAGAAATAAAGCACATCCGAAATTTCTTTCTAAACTGTAGTAAAAAGGCATGGTTATAGAGAAAACTTTACAAATGCAATTAGGATGATTCAACCCGAGGGACGTCCTGGACCAGATCTGCGCCGTTAGTCTGATGCAGCACGGGCTAAGCCAGTGTCAGCCTCCACCTGCAACCACACGCACGGCTCAAGTCCTCTGGAGCACTGATGAGTGAGAGCTCACAACAGAAGCTGCGTGAGTCAAGTCAAATGCAATAATTAGAATAGCCAAGTGAATGAAACAAACGTGGGACAGGAATTACAGCCTCTGGAAGAGGCGCTGCCACTTTTTAGCAATATCTGTGTATTTTTACCTGTGGTTGTTGAAAATCCAATCTTAGGAATGAATTTTAGATTGGGAAATAAACACCTCCAGTCTTTAAGCCACAAGTGTTCTTTGGTTCACCTTTTTTAAAAAAAAAACACATCCTACTCCATTTAACATACAAGCAAACATGCGTTCATGTATTTTTCTTTTGTTGTTACCCTCCTGTAATCTCTCACTCATTTAATTTGTTTCAGTGGACAGCAAACGCACCATATCCCCCTGCCTGGATGGGTGTTTTTGGAGAAGCACAAGCATATAGACTAAAATCCTCTGTCTGGAAACCAGCCCGATTCAAGGAGGGTTCTGATGCACTGCGGTGGATTTTTGGCAATGAGCGGGCCAGCAGCTCAATGGAGGCGAGAATCTACCAAAAAAAAAAAAAAAAAAAAAAAAAAGACATTAAAAAAAAGAAAATATGACACAAATCTTCAAGAACTCCATTATATTTTATAAGAAAGCATCTGAAATCTTACAGTGTTTTCAATCTCATAAATACCTGCAAATCATTTAAAGACACTTTATTATTTTTCCTGAAGAACAAAAGAAAGCTACCAAGTGACTACAGCTTTTGTTTCTATAAATTATATGAGGTACATAACTCATAATTAACTAAATTTATATTTTAGACCATTTGCCAGTCTTGGAGCTGTAAATACAAAAATTCAAAACCTATACTTAATTTGCCATAAACCACAAGTCCTACTTGGGAAGATGGAGTATAATTTTTGTATGACTATCTCTAAAGAAATTTGGCATAATTAAAAGTAGGACACCCAGTGACCCAAACTGCTAGTGGCACATGAATGAGAAGTGACAGGTGACAACCTAAGAGTGAAGACAGAAAAACTCGACAAGTAGGCAGCAATACATGAAGCATAGAAATGTACAAATGTGAAGAGACAAGGAAACGGGCTCTGGCCTTTGAGGGTGTTCAGCATGATGGTGCATGCTCATAACCATGGGGCATCTGTATGAAGGCCCTGGCACGACGCCTGGCACACATAACAGTCAACACAACTTTAGCAATCTTTACTATTATTATTGTTATCCTGAGCTAGCAAAACCTTTAACAGTTAAACTATAATCTTTATAATGATTAGTGTAAGAAAAGCAACAAAGTAAGTGATGTTAGACAAATTTTAAAATTCCAAGCCTAACAGGAATACAAAAACAGTGTAAGACTCATAAGTCCTACCCTCCACGGGTAACCGCAGTTAGACTACCTTCTTGTAGGCCCTTCCTAAGCATAACCACACGCACGTGAAGACAGAGCTCTCCTCACACCTTCTGACGTGGCGTCGTACCACACCTATTTTACTGCACTGCTTTCATCTTCCCTCATTAACATCCATGCCCTATATAGAGCTATCTTGTTTGAAAGTCAGAGTTACACAGAGAGAGAAGGAGAGGCAGGGAGAGAGAGGTCTTCCATACACTGGTTCACTTCCCAGTGGGAGCCAGGAGCTTCCTCCAGGTCTTCCCATGTAGGTGCAGGGGCCCAAAGACTTGGGCATCTTCTCCTGCTTTCCCAGGCCATAGCAGAGAGCCGGATTGGAAGTGGAGCAGCCGGGACTTGAACTGGTGCCCATATGGGATGCCGGCAATGCAGGCGGTGGCTTTATTTGCTACACCACAGCACTGGCCCCTATACAGCTATCTTAATCTTTTTCTCTGTAATTTTCCCCATTATAGTAAACATTCTTGTGTGTATATACGAATACTTAGGGAAGTAGGTTCTGCAGCAAGTTTTTTTTTGGAGTATTTTAGATCTATAGATTCCACCACTTCCTTCCAAAAAATAACTTACATTCCCATCTATATTGTTAAAATTTTCAAAAAGAATGCTCTTTCCTTCTCTCAACACTGTTCTTAATTCTGGATACTGCCAAATTGACAGACAAAAATCAAAACATACCTCACTGTGGTGTGCCTTTGTATTTTACTGAGCCAATGAAGTCTTCACATCTTTCCCCAAGTTGTCTCACTATCTGTATTTCTTTTGTGAATACCCTGCTAATATCTTTTGTTTTCTTTTTGAGTGATCTGCAGGAGTCCTTTGTATAACTATTACTTTTTTCATATACTCTACAATTATTTTTCTATTTTCATTTACAATATATACATTTAAAGTGTTACTGCAGCCATATATGTTAATCTTTTCCTCTGTAACTTCTGGACTTTGCCTCTTGCTTAGGAAAACCTTTCTATCTTATTACTATGAACAATTTCATATTTTATAGTTATGCTTTTACATACAGATCTGTAGCCATTTAAGATTTATGTGGCACAGCGTTGTTTTTGTGTGAAAAGGTAATGAAAATGTGAAAACAGGGGGCCAGCATTGTGGCTTAGGAGGTTAAACCTCTGCCTGCAGTGGCTGACATCTCATATGGGCGCCGGTTCTAGTCCCGGCTGCTCCACTTCCGATCCAGCTCTCTGCTATGGCCTGGGAAAGCAGTAGAAGATGGCCAGGAGCTCCTGGCTCCTGGCTTCAAATCAGCCCAGCTGCAGCCATTTGGGTAGTGAACCAGTGAATGGAAGACCTCTCTCTCTGTCTCTCTCTTTCAAATAAATAAATAGATAAATAAATCTTTTTTAAAAAGGTGAAAATAATTCCTAAAAGTAGTGGCCTCTAATAATGTACACATGCATTTTATGTGATGGATGAAATGTTACACTGAGAAGCCTGAGCATTTTTTTCCTTCCATATAATTTTATTTTTAAATTTTTTTTTTTTTTTGACAGGCAGAGTGGACAGTGAGAGAGAGAGACAGAGAGAAAGGGCTTCCTTTGCCGTTGGTTCACCCTCCAACGGCCGCCGCGGCCGGCGCACCGCGCTGATCCGATGGCAGGAGCCAGGAGCCAGGTGCTTTTCCTGGTCTCCCATGGGGTGCAGGACCCAAGCACCTGGGCCATCCTCCACTGCACTCCCTGGCCACAGCAGAGGGCTGGCCTGGAAGAGGGGCAACCGAGACAGAATCCGGCGCCCCGACTGGGACTAGAACCCGGTGTGCCGGCGCCGCTAGGCGGAGGATTAGCCTAGTGAGCCGCGGCGCCGGCCTTATTTTTAAATTTTTAAAAAAATATTTATTTATTTGAAAGTCAGAGTTACACAGAGAGGAAAGGTAGGTAGGTAGGTAGGTAGGTAGGGAGAGAGAGAGAGAGAGAGAGAGAGAGGTCTTCCTTCCGATGGGTCACTCCCCAGTTGGCCGCAACAATCTGAAGCCAGGAGCTTCTTCCGGGTCTCCCATGTGGGTGTAGGGCCCCAAGGACTTGGGCCATCTTCCACTGCTTTCCTGGGTCATAGCAGAGAGCTGGATCAGAAGTGGAGCAGCCGGGTCTTGAACCAGCACCCATATGGGATGCTGGTGCTTCAGGCCAGGGCATTAACCCGCTGTGCCACAGCGCCAACCCTATCCTTTCATATCATTTTAAAAAGTAGGCTTAAGTGTCGCTCCCCCTCTTCGTGGAGGAACGACACTAAACCCTGCCTAGACTTCATATCCGAGTCACGGCACCATTGTGTCGCTTCCCCTCTTCGTGGAGGAACGACACAGGACCCTGCGCTGTTCTTTCATCTGCTCGGCCCTCCCCGGGTTTGCTGCTGGTTCTTCCCGGGTTGGCTACTGTCCCTTCCACCTCCGTGGAAGGGCGGTTCCCCCTGCCACTTTCCCCACTTCCGCGGGGGAGCGGCACACCACCGGCCGGCTCTCTTGGGGGCTGCTCAGATGTTATCCGGATGTTCCCGTTAGATGTTCCTGGTGCATGTTGTCTCTCTCCTCCTTTATAGTCCTCTTCCACCAATCCCAACTCTGCTACCCACACGCCGAGTACGCTGCTCTCCTCCAATCAGGAGCAGGTCCTGCTGTTTATTGGCTGAACTGGAGGCAGCTGTGTAGAAGCTGTTGCCTCCTCTCCCAGCGCCATATTGTGGGAGAGCAGATGCATAGAATAAGTCTTAATTCCAGTAACAGTCTAGTCCGAGTTGCTCCCAGTTGCTCCCCACACTTAAGGATGTAATTGCAGTGACAGCAACCCTGATGAATAAGAAACCCTCGCGCCTCAGTGCAGGGTCCTGCTGACAGTGGTCAGCAATGCTGGTCTTTCACCCTGGTAGTCTTAAACCAGAGGTCCTCTGCGGTAAACACACCACAACCACAAAACCCAGTATGTGGACACATGCAGGTGCTTGGAAGACACACACTATTGATTTCACTTCCATGAACTTTTTGAAGCTCCTTCATATACTTCTTCTGAGGTAGCCCCTTGAGAGATTTGTTAAAATCATCAATTCTATCTTCTTTAATTCTTTAGAGAATAAAAGCTTTTTGATAAAAAACAAGGATCAGTGAAGCTTCATCCTGTAATAGTGACTTTTTAAATAAAGAGTTACTTATTATTTATTTTGAAAGTTACAGAAAAAGAGGGGGAGACAGAGATCATCCATCCATTGGCTCACTCCCCAGGTGGCCACAATGGCTAGGGCTGGGCCAGGCAGAAGCCAGGAGCTTCATCTGGGTCTCCAAAGTGGGTGCTGGGGCCCAAGCACTTGGGCTGTCCTCCACTGTTTTTCCCAGGCCATTAACAGGGAGCTGGATCTGAAGTGGAGCAGCTGGGACACGAACTGGTAAACGTATGGGATGCTGGTGTCACAGGCAGTGGTTTTACGTGCTAAGCCATGGTACTGGCTCCTGTAACAGTGCCTTAGTGACAGAAAATCACTGAGGGTTCCAAAGGCGCACTGCTGAAATCCTGCCAGCAGCCTTACTAGCAAAGTCAGCACTTCCCCTCTGAGATCGTAACTTACCTAGGTTTATTTTTTCGGTGTTACCAGGGACTTCCTAACCATCAGAAAACAGTGAATTTATACTACAGCATGCACTATAGCAGTTCAGTTCTCTGCGAGGCTTGTCAGAGATTGTTAGCTGGGGCTGGATTATCAGTGGAACAGCTGGGACTCCGGTTGCCGACCCAGCTCCCTCATGCACCTGGAGAAGCAGCAGATGCTGGCTCAAGTGGCTGGACCCTGCACCCACGTGGGAGACCTGGATGGAGTTTCACGCTCCTGATTTTGGCCTGGCCCAGTCCCAACTACTGTGGCCATTTAGGGAATAAACTAGTGGAAGGAAGATCTCTCTCTCTCTCTCTCTCCCTCTCTGTAACTCTGCCGTTCAAATAAATAAAATAAATCTTAAAGAAAAAAATTGGGGGCTGGTGTTGTGGCATAATAGGTAAAACTGCCTACAACACTGGCATCCCATATGGGTACTGGCTCAAGTCCCAACTACTCCACTTCTGATCCAGCTCCCTGCTAATGCACCTGGGAAAGCAGTGAGAGATGTCCAAGTCCTTGGGCTACTGTACCAACATGGGAGACCTGGAAGAAGCTCCTGGCTCTTGGCTTCAGTCTGGCCCAGCTCTGACCATTAAGGCCATTTGGGGAGTGAACAACTGGATGGAATATTTCCATGTCTCTCCCTCTTTCTAACAGTGCCTTTCAAATGAAAAAATAAAAGGGCCCGGTGCTGCGGTGCAGTAAGTCAATCCTCAGCCTGAGGCGCCAGCATCCCATGTGGGTGCTGGTTCTAGTTCTAGCTAATCCTCTTCCGACCAGCTCTCTGTTATGGCCTGGGAAAGCAGAAGATGGCCCAAGTGCTTGAGCCCCAGAACACACGTGGGAGACCAGGAAGAAACTCCTGGTTCCTGGCTTCAGCTCAGCTCAGCTCTGGCCATTGTGGCCTTCTGGGGAGTGAACCAGGGTATAGAACACCTTTCTCTCTCTCCCTTTCACTGTCTATAACTCTACCTCTCAAATAAATAAAAAATCTTTAAAAAACCAACAACAAAAATAAAACAAAATGTGGAAAAGGGCTCTGAAACCAAAGTTTCAAAAATTGCTGGACAAATACAAGCCTCTGAGTTTTGTATTGGGATCCCAAATTTCTTTCTTTTTTTTTTTTTAATATTTTATTAGTTATTTGAGAGGCAGAGTTACTGACAGAGGGACAGACAGAGAGGAAAGTTTTCCACGTGCTGGTTCACTCCCCAAATGGCCACAATGGCTGGAGCTGGGTCCATCTGAATCCAGGAGCTTCTTGTAGGCCTCCCGCGAGGCTACAGGTGCCCAGGCACTTGGGCCATCTTATGCTGCTTTCCCAGGCCATAGCAGAGAGCTGAAGTGGAAGAGGAGCAGCTGGGACATGAATCAGCACCCATATGGGATGCCGGCGCTGCAGGCAGAGGTTTATCCCACTGTGCCACAGCGCTGGCCCCTCTAACTTTAATAAAATTATTTTCTTGTGCTTAGTTATCTGAAGTCTGTACATAATACAATTACATGGATCCCAAACCCATGAATTATAAACTATTCCTGAACAAGTGTTTGAAAATCGGCCCTGAACGTCAGTCTCATTTCCTAGGTGCTCTGAAGCTTTTCCTTACTTGGGGAAAGAGTGGTCTCTCATCTCTTTTCTTTTTGAGGCACTCTGCCATTAATCTCTTCATGGCTTTCGGACAGTTACTCCGTACCTTACTGAGGTCTGGAGACAGGTAGCCACGTCCCACCATAAAAATGATCTGGAGAGAAAAACAGAAGCAAATCACAGAAGTTTGCATGTAACTTAAAATACATAAACACTGAAAATTCAACACGCAAAGTCCGAGATTTGTACTTTTCTGTATGCGTATTACGCTTCAATAACGCTGGATCCCCACCTCACAGGCTGTGGGCACTGGGCTGATCCCAGGACTTTGGCAAAGGCCTGCTCTATCTTGTCTCTACATCCCCAGCCCATTTTCCCACTCACTGCGTGATGATCTGATAGTGTCTCTTCTGAAAACAACAACAAAAGCTACTGAAGACTTATTACTGAGTACTTTAAGTCCCTTGAATACGTGCGGCAGTACCAGAAAGCCAGCCTTAAAAACGCAGTTGTTCTGCTGTATGCGAAGCCTTTTGTTGGAGAAACTCGGATGAGGTATCTGATCTCCTCCAGAGAGGCTGAAACTACTGACAACTAAAGTAAAACGTTCCTTTTTCAAAAGTGCTCTTTTTAATAAAAAGTCTTGCCTTCCATGAGCAGCGTTTCATAATTCTTCTAGTTTCTGAATTTTCTAATTTTTGGTTCCTTTGAGAGTAGGCAGAGGAGGATGTTGGGTATCTTGGGATTCAGGGGGGAGAGGACCTGAGAGCAAAGGTTTTGATCTCAGAGGAAACAGGTTTAACAGGGCAGACTTTACTTGCTATTTTGTACTATCAGACCTGAGGTAAGGCTTTGATCTCAGGGTGGTCTTTCTTTATAGTACAGGATAAAAGGATGATGGTTAGAAAATGCAGTTTTCTTCTATACTACCTTCTATACTACCAGGTAGTCAAAACATTATTTTAATGAAAGACAGCAACCTTAGAATTATTTTTTTAAAATATATTTATTTATTTATTTGAAAGAGTTACAAAGAGACAGAGAGAGGGAGAGACAGAGCGCTCTCCCATCAGATGGCTGCAGCAGCCAGAGCTGGGCCAGGCTGAAGCCAGGAGCCAGGATTTTCATCCTGGTATCCATGTGGGTGGCAGGGGCCTAAACACCCAAGCAATCTTCCACTGCTTTTTCCAGACCATTAGCAGGGAGCTGAATGGGAAGTGGAACAGGTGGGACAGGAACTGGTGACCATATGGGATGTGGGTCTCAGGTGGTGTTTCACCTGCTACACCACAATGCCGGTCCCACTCATCTCAGAAATCTAGGAGCAACCTGGAATAATCCCTTGGAGCAACAGGTGATAACGATTAGAAGAAGGTAAAGCATTTCTGAAGTTGAAGTGTGCTGTCACACTGGACAGCAGTTTAGATATTCTTACCTGGCTATCAACAGAAAAGATATAAAAACCATGGGACCCTTGGATTACAGATGTCATCTAAGCTTAAACTCAAAATAATTCTACAAGTAAGTATCAAATTCCTTTTACAGATAAGGAATCCAAAGTTCAAATTAGGTAACTTGGCCAAGATAATATAGCTAAGCAACAAAGAGGAATTTGGAGAAGACCCGATCCGTAGGGTGACACTATAGGGAGGCGGGCCTGCTGGGAGGCCCTTAGGTCACTGTGGACATACTCTCCAAAGGCAGTTCTCTTGTGACCTCTCTAGATCTCATAGAAGTGTCATCACAAAACCCCTCACCTACTCTCTGCTCTTAGCTTGAGATTTGAATGCTCAGTCTGACATGAGCTCCTGCCATTGCAGTCTACACCATAGGTTGATGTAGCCAAACAGAGGTTGCCACATCTGCACTTAACCTATCTGGACTTTCAGTCTCCCAAACTGCTAGTGAGATAAACCTGTTATGTTTATCAAGTCAGCTGCATCAGGTATTTTGTGGTCGTCATGCAATGCTGCTTGCAACCACTTGTACACTGATTCTGCTCCTGCTCTTCCTGCAGTGCCCTCCCAGGCCCTGGTCTGCAGCTGTCAGAGATCCAGGGGAATCAAGGCCCAACCGACGGAAAAGTGGTACCATCCTTCCCAGCAGGTATGGTGACATTTACCACCTTATACGGCTATCACCGTCTACGAATAAGGATCTCACCTGTGCTCCCCGTGACTACAGCTACTCACAGAGCAGAGCAGCTATCTCATAGACGTGTATTTAAGCATTCGTTTTTCTTCTTTTATTTATTTATTTATTTTTAATTTTTTAAAAATTTTTTGACATGCAGAGTGGACAGTAAGAGAGAGAGAGACAGAGAGAAAGGTCTTCTTTTGCCGTTGGTTCACCCTCCAATGGCTGCCGTGGCTGGCGTACCGCGCTGATCCGATGGCAGGAGCCAGGTGCTTCTCCTGGTCTCCCATGGGGTGCAGGGCCCAAGCACTTGGGCCATCCTCCACTGCACTCCCTGGCCACAGCAGAGAGCTGGTCTGGAAGAGGGGCAACCGGGACAGAATCTGGCGCCCTGACTGGGACTAGAACCTGGTGTGCCGGCGCCGCAAGGTGGAGGATTAGCCTAGTGAGCTGCGGCACCGGCCCGTTTTTCTTTTAAAAGCTGTACTACCCTGCCTCTGGACATAAGAGGTTTTCAATGTTTAACAATTCAATTAGGTGAAATATACATTTTTACTGATTAACCATGTCATATGTCTGTAGTCTGCAAACTAGCGTGAAGTATGCTAGGGTTCCATGAAGATTCTACCAGAAATATACAGACATGGTTGTTTTAAGGGAATTAATTTCTATATCAACTACCCTACACCCTCCTAAAAAACTGATTTGCCCGAGGACCTCTCAAGTGGAAATATAAAGCTTACCTTTCTTCCTCATCTCCCTGTAGTTAATGCCCCACTCTCACATTAGAGTAAAGGCGTACCTTTTACGCATATGGAATCTAACTGTACTACACATTCTGGACTGCCAAATCCAGGTGGGAATCAAAGCGATATTTCCAAATACTGGTATCCAACTGGGATCTAATAAATGGGTACAAGTCCCTTTATAAGACAGTTGGTTTCAAATCAACAAAATTAACTGAATTGTCAGTTGGCCATTCAAATAATTTTTATTTGAAAGGCAGAGTGACGGAGGAAGAGGAAGAGGGGGAGAGAGGTTTCTTTCAGCTGTTGGTTCACTCCCTGAATGATCACTATAGCCAGGGCTTGGATGAGGCTGAAGTCAGGAGCCTAGAACTTCACCTCTGGCTTTCCAGGGGGTGGCAGGGGCCCAAGGACTAGAGCCATCTTTTTGCTGCTGCTTTTCCCAGGTATGTTAGCAGACAGATCTGAAGCGGAGCAGCCGGGACTTAAATAGGTGCCCCTATAAAATGCTGGTGTCACAAGTAGGGGCTTACCCCACTGTGTCACAATACTGGCCCCAGAATAATTTTTATTTTTTATTTATTTATTTTTTAAGATTTATTTATTTGAAAGTCAAGAGTTACAGAGAGAGAGAGAGAAAGAGAGAGCGCGCGAGAGAGAGGCAGAGAGCGAAAGGTCTTCCATCCACTGGTTCACTCCCCAATTGCCTGTAATGGCTGGAGCTGCGTCGATGCGAAGCCAGGAGCTGGGAGCTTCTTCTGGTCTCCCACGTGGTTGCAGGCGTCCAAGGACTTGGGCATCTTCTACTGCTTTCCCAGGCCATAGCAGAGAGCTGGATTGGAAGTGGAGCAGCTGGGACTTGAAACAGCACCCATATGGAGGGCCAGCACTACAGGAGGTGGCTTTACCTGATATGTGCCAGCCCCCCAAAATAATTTGTAATGACAAGTTACTATGTAGTTTTTGGTATATTTTAGGAATGAGATCAAGGGGCTGGCGTTGTGGCGTAGTGGGTAAAGCTACCGCCTGTGACAACGGCATTCCACATGGGAGCTAGTTCCAGTCCTGGCTGCTCCATTTCCGATCCAGCTCCATGCTGATGTGCACAGGAAGGCAGCAGAGGATGCCCGAGTGCTTGGACCCTGCACCTACATGAGAAACCACGAAGAAGCTCCCAACCCTGGCTTTGGACCAGGCCAGTTCCAGCCATTACGGTCATTTGGGGAGTGAACCAGGGGAAGGAAGCTCTCTCTCTATCTCTTCCTCTCTCTAACTCTGCCTTTAAATAAATAAATATATATTTTTAAAAAGTGAAGGAATGAGTCCAAATGATTGAGTAATATGGTTGGTGTACAGTCAGGAATTAACCTTGCTCAAAGAGAAGGCTGGCTTTTGTCCTTGGCTCCTGGGATGTAAATGCTAAGCACTTGTAATATCTTGCTTTATTAGAGTGCTTATCTGGGCACCCTAGGCCATGCCAGAAAGTCTATGCTTACAACGTGATTTAGAGAGAGGGCTTCGGTCATCCGAATCAGCTTGACCCCGGAGGAGCTGGGAACTAAGGTCAGCCACATCCACAGTCAACCACGCCTATGAGGCCGAGCCCCAGTAGTCATTCCAGACTGCAAGGCTGACGTGAGCGGCTCCTGCCGGCACACTCCCTCTGAACTACCACATGCTGCCGCTGCTGGGAGAACCGCGCGCCTCCACAGCTCCACTGGGAGGGGTGAACGCAAGATCACAGGAACTCCTCTGATTCTGCCCCCTCCACCGCCTTCCATTGGCTGATTTTAATCTGTAGTCTTTCCCTGTATAACTGTAACTGTGGGTCTAACAGCTTTTAGTGAATCTTATGTTGGTTTTAGCAAGTTTCCAATAAGTCCTGTTAGTGAATCCTTGAACCTGTGTGTGGTCTGTAACAAAAACCCTCACTTTCCTGTCTAATTATGAGTGACACTTCCTGGTAGGGGCGGGAGTCTGGCAGAGCAGCTAAGACACTGTGTGGGACACCCACCTCCCACATTGTGGCACCAGGGCAGGTCCTAGCTCTGCCTCTAGCTTCCCTCTAATGTGAACCTTGAAAGACATCAGTGATGGCTCAAGCACACGGGCCCTGCTACCCATGTGGGAAAGCAGACTTAGTCCCCAGTTTTTGGCTGTGGCTTGGCCTAGCTCCAGCTCTTGTGAGCATTTGGGAAGTGAACCAGAGAGGATGGAAGATTTTTCTGTCTCTGCCCCCACATCCCCTCCCACCCCTGTCTCTCAAATAAAT